TTATTGGTTTATATTACAAGGGGTTATGCACATTAAATGAAACACCGAGAACATGTAGGGTTGGTCGAAGTCATCACGTACCACACGTGCATTTGTTTCACTATTCCAACTACTGCGCTTACCCCCTTGTAATACAAACCATTAATAGCGATTTGAATATATGGTCGTTTGTTAAACAACTTTCATCCTTAGTTGAATAAAATTCTGAGATTTAAATGTTCAATTGGCAAGGTAAAATTATGAGGATTGGCAATCTTATTTTCACTTTATATTGAATTCCGTTTTTTGTTTAAAGTGAAATTCATTGGTACGTTTTCACTGCAACCAGGCTATAGCTGTTGAAGCGTTCATTCGTTATGCCGTCGACATATATACTGTGGCGAGGCCTGGTTTCGAACTTGCAACCCTTCGCTAACTGGCTTGGCGGGTTTATCCACTAGGCTACGAAGGATCGCTGTGAAGTGATTGTTTGTCAGTATGAACCATGTGTTCCTCGGGACACGGGTAGCACGTGCAGAGCACCTGCATTGCGCGTGCAGGGCAAGGTATCGGCTGGCAATCGCATCCCAGTTGATTTCAACAGTCAGTGAGTGAGTTCAGTTTTATGCCGCACTAAGCAATATTCCAGCTATATGGCGGCGGTCTGTAAATAATCGAGTCTTGACCAGAAAATCCAGTGATTAACATCATGAGCATCGTTCTACAAAATTGGGATACGATAACGTCTGTCCAAGTCGGCGAGCCTGAATATCCAATCCCGTTAGTCGCCTCTTACGACAAGCATGGGTTGGTGTATACCAAGTCTAACCCGGATCGTCACGGGTCTGAGTTGGGTGTAATGCTGGTGTTTCAAACATCGGAAGGAAAACCTGAACTGATGCGTCGTGGACGTTTTAACCACTATTGTGAAACCCATGAACTTAGGGTCTGATGCTGACAGAACGAGGCTTACAACTGGAGCCAATGTGAGATTTATACCTACCGGAATCTGACACAACAAAGGGGCGTAACTCTACACAAAATGCTCTTCCCCGTCATGTACGCAAATAGACACTACTTCTGGTCAAACTCGCCCTAAAACTATATCACCACAACCACCACTCTTCCGTGCCCACATTGATAGAGGGAGAAGTAGATAGGCCAGGGACGGGTAGGAAAACATGGAATCGAGTACCCGCATGTACTTACCCGAATCGGAATCGAGTACCCGGAAATGTAAGGAATAAAGCGCTTCTGTCAACTTTCTGAATATTCAATCACGAGTTGACAGACATTTTTAAAGAAAACTTGAAATGATAGCAATAAGACACTGAAACTGAACTTAGGCTATATAATGTGAGTCTGTTTAAACAATAGAGAGTAACACCATTACTTACATTCCTCCTTAAAACACAGATTGAACTTTTCGCTCCTGCTGTTACTGTAACTTGACTCCTCACTGCTCATGCTCAGATATATTACAGTCGTTTATAAATAACCTCCATCAATCGGACAATACCAATGATGCAAACGTGTGTTACGTCAATAATGAAAAAGACAAGTCATTGTCTGCCCTTGCCATTACAGAGTTCTCTCCTTTTAAGTACTCGATTCCTAGAAATAGGACTGTTGTTGAAATAGGACGCGATTCCTAGAAATAGGACTCGATTCCAGCTGCACCCGACCCGGATTGGAGTACCCGAGTACCCGTCCCAGCCCTAGAAGTAGAGGAGACTAAACGACCTTCCGTGTAATACCATTTTTATTAAACGAGTTAATAATCTTTCACGAGTTTAATAAAACTGGTAATTCACGGAAGCGATTTTAGTATTCTGTTTATTACTCGCCAACATAAATTGATAGAAACTGCCTACAGTGTCTGGTGACTTTCATTTTCTGGTGACGTAATAAATGTAAAACATTATGACGTTATACGTCTAGCGGTATTACACTAGTGTAATATTGACTTAAAAGTATTACACTGCAGTATCCTACACGGGAGATTTATAAATCATTATATTCCAACTATCTAAGTGTTTTTTTCTCATAAAAGAACACGACATTCACATTTTGTGGCAAATGTATTTTCAAAAATGTCCTTCAAAACTTTAGGGCAACACCGTTGCATTTTTTAACAAAATTTTATTGTCCAAAAAATATACGATTATAAAATGATGAATTCTATGGAAAACACAAACAAAATAATAAATATTGGACGGACTTTAAATGTCATAAAACTGTTGAACCTATTCAACAAATACCATGAATATATTTGTTACTTTCGTAAGTTTCTAATATTCAATACATACCATACTTGGTGATGTTCGGTTGTCCCTATTTTTTTATTCTTACTGGAAATAATCAAACGTTTCCTTATCTCAGTTTTATCCACTGTTATGGAAAAGTTTGCCCTGATGGGTTAAAACAATACTCTTCCCCACTCTTGCATACTCATAAAAATGCCTGGTCAGCTAAATTCTGTTTGATTTTCGTTTAACTACACTCAGGAATATTCCAGCTATATGGTGGCGGTCTGTAAATCTGGAGCAGTCAATCCAGTGATCAACATCATGAGCATCGATCTAGGCAAACGGGATACGATGACGTGTCAAGCAAGACCACCGGATCAAGTTCGTGGCCTTTTACAAGAAGCATAGGTTGCTGAAGACATTTCTTCATCTATTTTTATTAGAGCCATTCTTTCCATAGCAAACAACTTAATGTACATCATAAATTCATTTATAGACTATTAACAAGTGGGCAAAATATTAAAATTTCAGAAAATTAGTGAAAAGGATTTGTTAAAATATTTTATTATTTATAGTTTTCGCCCACCCACAATCTTGATGGCATTATCAACATAACACATCTGCAACAGTGTCTTGTGTGAGTATTAAGGCATTGGGATTTGTACTGCATCACTCAAAACATACATCTTCAAACAGCTTATTCATGAGTGAGTGAGTTGGGTTCTACACCACTTTAAGCAATATTCAAGCAATATCAAGACGGGGACACCAGAAATGGGCTGCACACATTGTACCCATGTGGGCCTTCAGAGCTGAACCACTAGGCTGAACCCCAAGGAACTTATTTTCAAAAAAGAGAAAACTATTACGGCCGATAAATGGTGCCGCTAATATAGGTCTGCAGCATTTTGTATAGTATTCAAAATTATAATATAAGTATTACAGCAAAAAAGATTCTTTAAACTTTTGATTTTATTGGGACACCATGACTTACATAACGATGTAACGCACCTAATATAATATCAAGAAATGAATAATAAGTGAGTCTCCAGATGTATACTATGAAGGAAGATCAGTATTTGGAGGAAACGTACATTGTACACACTGGCAAAGTATACATTTATAACTAATTATCATATCATTAATAATGTTATCAAGGCACTAAACCCAATATTATAAACTTGATTTGTTTGTTTGTTGTTTAATAATCAGCAATATTCCAGCTATATGGAGGTGGTCTGTAAATAATGAAGTCTGGACCAGACAATCCAGTGGTCGACATCATGAGCACCGATCTACGCAAATAGAATGCGAAGACATGTGTCACCTCTTATGACAAGCATGGGTTGCTGAAGACCTATTTTAACCAGGACATTCACAGGTGATAAATCTGATATCTACGCAAATAGGATGCGTGGACATGTGTCACCTCTTATGACAAGCATGGGTTGCTGAAGACCTATTTTAACACAGGTCATATATCTGATATCACATCAGACAGGTATGCAGGATGAATAGACCAGGAACTACATATAAACTTCATTCATCGATCTTGTTTCTGCTGTGTCATTTAACTATTGACTTCTGATGCCAACGAATCTAGATGGTTGTTTTCTTAAATAATTTTCAATCCTAATAAAGAGGACAAACAGGAAGGCAAATGGTATAGCACTGTATGATACATTTGGAAGTTCCCTCATGTCCTCATGTTGAATAGACATATCAGGGGTGGAAATAACCGATTGCCCGACGCCCGAGTCCAGTGTTTTTTCTGTCGGGCAAGCAAATTTGTATATCACACTGTACCGGTGTCCTGTTGATATTCCAATGTTAATTATGTTGTTTATTTAAAAAATCAACAAGAAAACGGCCGGTAGAGTGGAAAAATTATCAGGGCAAGTGATTTTACATGTGCCACTGTACCGGAGTACACTTGCAATTTTAAAGTTATTTCCACCCCTGCATATATCAGGAATATTAACTGTATGATACAAGAATATTCCCAAAACATAATTCAATCTAACACCCTGTTGAAAGATGAAGGGATCAACGCAAATACTTCAAGTTATCAGAGGTTCAGCACAACTTAAAAATAAACTCATGAATTAAAACCATGAAACATATGCAACAAAGAAACCAGAAAAGAAATTGTTGACTTTCCAGAGTGTGCTGGAAATATGTTTTGGAATGCAAAATGACTTCGAGACAAGTGAGTGAATGAGTTTAGTTTTACACACCGCTTTTAGAAAGTTTCCAGCAATATCACGGAGGGGGAAACCAGAAATGGGCTTCACACATTGTGCCCATGTGGGGAATCGAACTCGGGTCTTCGGCGTGACGAGCGAACGCCTTAATCACTTAGCTACCCCACCGACAAACAATCTTTGAAACGAGACCAAAGCCGTTAACAGACATTTCAAAAAGGAAGCACAGTTGTCTATGTTGTAATGGGTTTCTTTCTTCTCAAATTCATTCTAATTTAGTAATTTAAATAGCATGTTTGAGCCTTGAAAATCATTACAAATTTCAGTTGCTTGCATGTAAGGTTATCAATCAATGGTAATCAGAGTATACCACTCAAAAGAAGATAAGGAACACAATTCCTGGCATGACAGAATAACTGTAGTAATAGGAAAGAATCAGGTCTTAAGTTCCTTGGAGTAGTATACACAGTGAACTTATAGCCTTTGCAAACATTGACTACAGTGTACAGATACTGTATAGGGAAGAAGATATGGAATGATGAATGTGCAAGAGCACCTTCACATGTATGGTGAGCAGGGACTGAGATTTGACATCAACTGTTTGGAGCCTATTGTCAGCTGTCAATCTGTCTTCTGAGAATGTTGGACGATTCTGTGTCACTGAACTCATTCTGAGCCACTGAAGGTAACTCTGACCCAAACAGGGAATGCTGGGACTGAAAATATTGTGACCTTGCATCATGACCTTCACCTTCCTGTGATGTTTCACCTTGGGACTGGAAGTCATATGACCTTGACACCTGTGAATAAGGGTCATGTGACCTTAATTCTTCGGGACTGGAAATCAAGTGACCTTGACACTTGAAAATAAGGGTCATGTGACCTTGACCCAAGAGACTCAACATCTTGTGACCTCGACTGATCTTTGTTATGCTGATAAGGTCTTGAAAATTCAAGTTCCCTTGACCCCTGTGTGTGAGGCTCCAGTGATTCAGAACTTAGAGAGGGGTCTTGCTGAGTTGTTTTCACATCACATTTTGATTCATGGTAGTGTGATGCATGTGGCCTTGGCCTGAATTCTAATGGGGATATGATCCCAAAGTTGGTCTGCTCTTGCAACACAGGATAAGACTGGAGGCTCTCTTGGACTTCCTGGGTCTGTGGAACTATGGTCCCCCCGAGTGTCTGCTCACTTGCTGATCTTTCTTGCACTGAGGAATTCCGAGAGGTCATTGGTGAAGTATGGCTGGACACAGAGTTCCCCTGAAAGTATATACCATGCACTCATATGTCTCAGTCAGCAATATTATGCCTGCCTCTAATCAATGCAGCTTGGGTGCCACTGTGCAAAGTCGCTATATAGCCAAAACAATGCTGATGTCACGTACAAGTGTAACTCACTCACTCACCCCACTGTGCAAAGTCGCTATATAGCCAAAACAATGCTGATGTCACGTACAAGTGTAACTCACTCACTCACCCCACTGTGCAAAGTCGCTATATAGCCAAAACAATGCTGATGTCACGTACAAGTGTAACTCACTCACTCACCCCACTGTGCAAAGTCGCTATATAGCCAAAACAATGCTGATGTCACGTACAAGTGTAACTCACTCACTCACCCCACTGTGCAAAGTCGCTATATAGCCAAAACAATGCTGATGTCACGTACAAGTGTAACTCACTCACTCACCCCACTGTGCAAAGTCGCTATATAGCCAAAACAATGCTGATGTCAATGCATAAGTGTAACTCACTCACTCACCCCACTGTGCAAAGTCGCTATATAGCCAAAACAATGCTGATGTCACGTACAAGTGTAACTCACTCACTCACCCCACTGTGCAAAGTCGCTATATAGCCAAAACAATGCTGATGTCACGTACAAGTGTAACTCACTCACTCACCCCACTGTGCAAAGTGCTCTCAACATATCTCAAATATACCTTAACCTAGTCTTACGACAATAGCAAAATGGCTCATTCTATACCTATACCTAAAGGATAAAATGGCACTAAATCTGGGTTTTTACAGAGGCCGATTCTTCATTTGAGCATTTTTGTCGCTGTGTGACCAGGGACTGGGAGTGTGGTCCTAAACTTGTTAGCTTGCTCCTGAAGACTTGCAGAGTGGACCTCTACTGACTCACCTGGATGTTACTGGAGGCAGGTACAGTGGACCTCAACTGACTCACCTGGGTGCTACTGGAGGCTGGTACAGTGGACCTCTACTGACTCACCTGGATGTTACTGGAGGCTGGTACAGTGGACCTCTACTGACTCACCTGGGTGTTACTGGAGGCTGGTACAGTGGACCTGGTACAGTGGACCTCTACTGACTCACCTGGACTGACTCACCTGGTAGAGTGGACCTCTACTGACTCACCTGGATGTTACTGGAGGCTGGTACAGTGGACCTCTACTGACTCACCAGGGTGTTACTGGAGGCTGGTACAGTGGACCTCTACTGACTCACCTGGGTGATACTGGAGGCTGGTACAGTGGACCTCTACTGACTCACCTGGTACCCTCTACTGACTCACCTGGATGATACTGGAGGCTGGTACAGTGGACCTCTACTGACTCACCTGGGTGTTACTGGAGGCTGGTACAGTGCACCCTCTGGTACTGGACCTCTACTGAATCACCTGGGTGTTACTGGAGGCTGGTACTCACCTGGGTGTTACCTCCCTGGAGGCTGGTACAGTGCACCTCTACTGACTCACCTGGGTGTTACTGGAGGCTGGTACAGTGGACCTCTACTGACACCCCTGGGTGATACTGGAGGCTGGTACAGTGGACCTCTACTGACTCACCTGGGTGTTACTGGAGGCTGGTACAGTGGACCTCTACTGACACACCAGGGTGTTACTGGAGGCTGGTACAGTGGACCTCTACTGACACACCAGTGGCCGTATGCACATGTTGGGCGTAGCTAACGTCAGGCGTAACACACTTACGCCAATTTAGCAGCCTCCTCTTACACGCCATGCATTAACGTCGGTTAAGCTTCTAGGCGCATACTACCGGCTTAACGGATTTATGTCAAGGCTCGGTGTGCTATTTTTAGATTTTCGAACGTTTTTAAACCACTGGTAAAAGGCGCGAAACAACTTCGCGGTACATCCCTTGCAGCCGTAATCATGGAAAGCCAAAGAAAACCGAGAAAACCCAACTTTACCGATGCATCCTCATGGAGAAATAACATGGACTTTCAAAATGGGCTTCACCATAAATGTCGCCATATTTAACACATTTCGAAATCACGATTCACAGCGCTATTTGGTGTATGTTTTCAAATGTTCAAATCGGATAATTACTACTCAGATGTATTGAATTTCAAAAAATAGCATATTAATGATCACTGATATCAGGTTTTCATGAAATCACTAATGATAATTCTGAAAATACACTTGTAAACACGAACGCCGGCGCGCTCCGCCATATTGATAGTGTTTACAAAATCAAGTTTCGCTGAGGACGGTAATGAGACGCCAATTACATCACGTGGTATATCACATTTACCTGCGACAAATGCATCACTGAATTCCCCCATACATTTTAGAATCAAATTACTAATGGTCTTTGTCACCAATATCAACTGTCTGGATAAAATGAAACGAAAGATATTGAGTGTCAAAAGTCCAAACGAACGCTTGTGCTCGAAGGTCTGCGCTTTGTAAAGAAAGAAAAATTCCGATTTTATACTAATGTAGCATTTTCTGAAATTTTCCGACATGCAGCCGCCTATTCATTGCTTGCAATGGCTCAATAGCTTTAGAATATGCATGGAAAGAGTATCGTAGCAAGAAATGGGAAATTAAAAAGAAGCAATGCAATCATTTGATATTTCATAAGAAATTGTCGGCGTCCGTGCAGCGGACGCCATGACTGACGAGAACGACAAAGGTTTTTATCAGCATTTCTGGCTTCTTCCCTTACTTACAATGAAAACGATAAAACATATAACAATACACATATAGTCAGAATCATTCTGCTTAAATATTTCTCATATTTCTGTACAAACGATCCCTGAATCAAAGGAAGGGTCCTCGCAAAATCCTGTGTACCTTTGTCAGCGTAGCCGCCAAATTATAAGTAATCGGTCGGTGGTAGTGATGTCATACGTCAACATTCTTGTACATGTTAAACAATTTCTTTGAGGTGAAGGTCGGTTGAACAAGTGTAAACCCAATCGCCCTATCCTTCCGACTACACTTTCAGTATTATGATGTATACTTTGCGTATCGCTCAGATATTTTTTCATCAAACTATTTTCAGTATATACATTTAGCCTTGTTCAATACCATATTATACCTGGATATAGGGTATGCTTTTTTATTCTTTGAAAGTTTTGATTGTTTGAATAATATTTACATAAGAAATTGGCACACATAGCCATAATTGCAAAATATTTGGGTGTTGTGAAATATTATTTTTCATTTACGCTAAATTGATGCCAAACAGGTGCTGTTGCTCACAAGATACGCAGTCAAACCGCCTAATTGTTGATATATTCAGGACACTATTTAATTGGTAAAATCATTCATTTGATGTTTGGTCTAAAGAGTGTTAAATTCAGACATAGAAGCCGCAGACCTTTCATACAATTAATGGAATTTAGGTAAGATATATACTAATCAGCAAACCAATGTCGCCTTTTTCCGACGCCGCAAAATGCATATAACAAGCCATGACGCCAACTAAAATGTTGTATTATTATCAGTAATTTCAGTACATTTGAAGATATGGGTAGTAATTCGCTAATAATGATGCAAAATTAGTCAATATACATCTACACAAACAGGAGAATATGGGAATCTAAGAACTAACTTACATATCGGATAGGGCCATCCAAATCGCTATTCTGCTTTCTCAAGTAGTACATTGCCATCTTTTCTTATAAATTGTGAAACTACCAAAACGTATCCGGCCACATTGGGGAACTTTGTAATGGAATAGGTTGGTTCACCGTGAACACAACATAACGAAAATATACCGTAAGTATCCACAACAACTTTTCTCCAAGTGATCTGAGTAACATTGACCTAGTGTTAAGCATAACTCAGTTATGCCCCTTATCTTTTATATATGCAGTATGACCTCTCTGTCGCCAGTTGACGCCATAGAAGAAAATCCATTTTGACACTTATTGGTAGTCATTTTAATGTTGAGCGCCTAACGCTATGCATTAGCACATAAACCCAATTCATATACACTTATGTCGCTCAGATATCAGGCTGTATTTTCTTCGCCACACTTTCTGTAAAGATGCCAAATTAAAAAATCGTAGCAGAGTGCTTTTATCGGTGCACGACAAAAACGGAGAAATTGACAGTGTATTAACGCTGCAACAAAATTTTTAGACAACATTTAGCAGTGTCTATTTCTCAAACCGCCGAGGAAGTCGCGACTTATATTTATACCAACGGATATGAAATTAAATATTCTACATTTCTGTGCAATTTTATAGCCGTGACGCAGATCCAGGACCACGCCTGAGCGCAATTCTCGCATAACGCTCACTTTTAAAACTTTTGAAAATGTGCTTGATAAAAACTCGCATCCAGTGTCGCCATTACAAGGCTACGCTTCGGCTTACGCTTCGCTGGGTAGGTGGCGTGAATATAGAGCGCTACGACTGGCGTAACTTTAACTACGTCTACTATGTGCATACCGGTTAACGTTACGTCCGGGCGCACATTTTACTTACGCCCGGACTAGAATTTACGCCCGACATATGCATACGGCCACAGGGTGATACTGGAGGCTGGTACAGTGCACCTCTACTGACTCACCTGGGTGTTACTGGAGGCTGGTACAGTGGACTTCTCCAGGCTCTCTATCATCATCCTTGACTCTGTCAACAGCCGCTGTAGTTTACTGGCAGGTGAGGCAACATCAGCATGGGTCAGAGCCTGGAAACAAATCTTTCTGCTACAAATCCTGATCAACTATAAAACATCAGATATAGGCAATAGGCATCAACAGAGTTTAAGGTGGATTAGGTGGAGGAATCCAAAGCTTCTGCATGTCAAGTTTTAATATTCTGCTGTCAAACACCGATCCAGAAGCAGACACAAATGTGAATACCTAAATTAGAGGAATATAACAAATACTTTGACTCCATCACCAAGTTTTTGAGATTTACACAGTTTTACACAAGACATATCAGTAACAATCAAAGCTTGTAGGCTGCGTTTAAGACTCCCAAAATTCCAAGCCAGACAGCCGGACTGGTAACTTTAAAAACTTACCAGTCCGGATACAAACTTGCCTGTCCAATTTTCAACAATAAAAACAAAACAAAATAAAATCAATTTTCTGAATACTTTACTGCATGTATCGTAATGTTAAGGCTAAGGTACATGGCCTGGTTTACAAACTAGAAATCTGTTGCATTTTCTGCCTCACAATCACGATCACAGAAATATCTACCAGACCACCGGACAGGCTACTTTTGAAATTTGACCGTCTGAGATGAAAATAGACCGTTCCGGACGGTCGGGCAGGCGGGAATTTTAAACGCTGTTGTAGGCTATTCTCTCATCAGTTCACCTCACTATCTGTGTCTTGATCTAGAAATGATGACAGACGGTCCTCAAATGAAACACGGAGATTGTCACTGTCAACATCATGTTGCCGTGGAGACACATGTTGAACTGGTTCATCATTACCATGGCAACTGATGGAATCCTCCAGACCAATGCTAGAAATGTGAGAAAAACATTCAATAATTGGGTATGAAATCTGTAGTTTCTTGTTAAACTGATTTCTCTAGATCAATATACCCAATATTAAGAAGAAAAAGAAGGGATAGAAATCCGAGTAAACTGACACTTTTTCCAGAATTCAAACCAAATACAAATCTATCTGAGGTCAAGGTCATAAGGACAAAGGTCAAGCACTTGTGATGTCATTACTTCTCCTGTAACCAGTAACATGCAGTTTGATTGGAAGGTTACTTCAAGTGTCATGAGTTAGTATGGTTTTATGCCGCTTTCAGCAATATTCCAGCAATATCACGGCGGGGACATCAGTAATGGGCTTCACACATTGTACCCATGTGGGGAATCGAACCCGGGTCTTCAGCGTGACGAGCGGATGCTTTAACCATTAGGCTACCCCCCGCTTATCTCAACAGGAAATATCCTTGATTGTTTTGATCGTGGTATTAATTGATGCCTGTCTTATTTCCTGTTATTGCCTACATGAGTTTTTTGGTCGGGTTTACGGTGACAATTGATTATTGATTGATTACTCAGCTCCGATTATCAGTTTGCATATTGTGAGAAATGACCAGTACTATAGACAGATGGACATGCTTTTTCAAACCAGGGTAAAAAAATGGCGTCAAGACCCTCTTACAGCAGATGCTGAAGAATTCTTTGGGCACATCATCGACCTCTTGCATCTCAGCCGCTGGTCCAGGAAATCACTGACGCCACCACGTAACGTGTTACACATTCAGTGTATTATTCTTTGACCAGCAGCAACTACAAACCTTTGTTCCATGTTGCTGTTCTGGTTGCTGTTCTCCCGGGAGCTGTCCAGGTTGAGCTGCATCAGAGTTATCTCCCTTTGCTGTCGCTCATACAACTGGAATACAAATGGATTGCAGGAGTCAATGTGTATTCTTGATATACGATGTTTGATGTACTGAGAGAACTTGCAAATGATTGTTTCATCAGTGACATTATCAACATAACACGGTTGGTGTGATTCTTCGGTGACTTTTGGCCTTGTGCATCTCATACATAACAGAGAAGGTGTAAAAAGGTGAGGTGAGGTGAAATTGGGTTTAACATCGAGCTTGAGAATATTTCGCTCATATGACGACGTGCATGCATGTGTATGTGTATGTGTGGCTGCTTGTACTAGCCCAGACTTAAGCTGGTTTTATAGTGCTAGCCCACTGAGATACCATACCGCAGTGAAGCATGAATACCCCACTCAGACACATTAAACTGACTCCGAGCCGACCAGTCCTTGTTGTACCCATTAATGCCGAGCGCCAGGCAGGGACCAACAAGTACCATATTTTAACGTCTTTTGGTATGACGCGGTCGGGGATCGAACCCGTGACCTTCCGCTTTCCGGGCGGACGCTCTAACCACTACACCACGGAGGCGGTCAGGTGTAAAATGACAATTTAACATCACTTTTGTTTTTGTTTAATGCCACAGTCAGAAATATTCCTGATATAAGGTGGTAGTGTAAATAAACGAATCTGGACCAGACAATCCAGTGACTGCCATCATGCGCATCATCTACGCAATTGGGAAATGGTAAACATGTTTCAACCAAGTCAGCGAGTCTCGAACCCGTTAGTCGACTATTACAACAAGCATGGATTGTTGATCAATTCTAACCTGCACCTTTGTGGGTAAATATCGCTTGCAAGATTTGTGCAGCAATGTGCATGAATGTGTAAAGGTAGGTACTACTACTAGTTGGGAATAATATAGCTTGCATGGTGCTAGTCCAGTGAGACACCATGCCACAGTTTAACATACGTGGATGCCTCATTCAGACACACCATGATGTCTCTGAGGTGACTAGTAGGGGTGAAACGGTACACTCCTACCACAGTACTGTACTAGTAATTGTGGTACCAGGCTTTTGGTTCGGTATATGAGACATGATCATAATGCAGAAAATTGACAAGAGCCGTCTAGCAAAGAAATGCATAGATTTTGACAAAATAATTTGATGTTTAGATACTTTAGAAAAGGTTTAAAAAGGTTAATAATATGATGGTAGGAGAACCGAGAACGAGTGTCGTATCGCGTTGACCTGTGTCGTAACGACTTGACCTGAGATTCTACCGATTTGATTGGATAACCGATGACCTCTCACTCAGGTCCTGTTGTGACGGAACAACTTGTTCATTCATAACAAATACGCGAATTCAATCATTCTACAACTTATATACATTGTGGGAATGTAAACATTGTGAACGTTGCCGTATCTCCGTCATCCCTCTGACATTTTATCCGTCGAAAAACATATATGCAATGTTTCCACCAGTGATTTTAGCTGAGTGAAGCAACTGCAAACCAAGAAACGGGGTGCTACGGAGTAGTTTACTGTAGGAGGCTGTACGAGAAGATGACAACTGACATGCATCGTGACGTCGGGTACCAAGGGGGCAGACAAGAATGGTGTAGTGATGTCAATACAGTGTCACGTCATGCAAAAAGTGTACTTCAGAACAAAATTCTTCTGCAACCTCTTTACATATTTGGGGATAACCAAACTTGAATCAACCACTGACGCTCCACTTTTTGAGGATGAGGTATGCTTTTTCTGTTAGTGAATGAGGTTTTACTCTCATTTTAGCAATATTCCAGCAATATTACTGTGGGAAACACCAGAAATTGCCTTCTTATCATCCACAATGACCTTAGACACTGTACTAGTTCACTGACACTGACATTTCTCGTGTCCCCTGCCGTGATATTGCTGGAATAATGCTTAAAGTGGCATTAACCATACTCACTCACTCACTGACATTGGAGTAATTAGATACTGGTTTAAACTTTTGAATTTAACTAATGAAAGGTACCCTAAGCAATGTTATATCATATCATTAATATTAGAGTAAAAGACTGCCATCAACAACCAATTTTTGAAGATTTGCATAAATTATCATCTATAGATGCTTATTCATCAGTTAAACAGATTTTCAGTATTGAACCATATCTAACTATTATCAAATCTAAAGATGCAAGACGTAGAATTACTTTACTAACAATATGTGCACTTCCTTTATTAAAAAAACTGGAAGGCCTTATGGATCAATAGCCATTATTTCATTAATACACGTCTTTCTAATGATTTTACGCTTGCTTCCAATTGTGAAAATTATGTAAAAGATGCGTTTGCACTACGTTAATCATGTATATACTGCGTGAGTGAGTGAGTTTAGTTTTATGCCACTATTCCAGCAATATCATGGTGGCCAACACTAAATACTGAAATATTATCATGATTTTGTATGTGGGCCTAAGGTCTTTTCACGAAATAAACTGATTGATTGAGTGACCGAACTTGAAGTCTTTGCAAGTCAAGGATCAAATTTTTCCAGAGAACTAATTATATCAAAATGTGTCAAATTCTGAGCTTACAGCTTGAAGGCTTGAAAAGGTCAATTCTAATTCAAGACCTTTACAAGGACTGTCACTTTGGCCTAGCAAGCACTGGCAGGGTATTTATGAATGAATGTCTGTCCTACCCTCACGAACACTCCGGAGTTCGGCCAGCGTCCGCTCCTGCTTTGACCTCAGTGACTCAATCAGGTCATCCTTGCTCTTATCACGCTCACCTTTGAACAATACGGATATTCATCTTAACAAGGAACATTGTCGATAATATCACTGACTCCACCCTCCACTGACTCCACCCTTCACTGACTCCACCTTCCACTGACTCCTCCCTCCACACTTCACTGACTCGTCCCTAGTACGGTGATCTATCTTCTCTTGTTGGCGATCTGTAGCCTTTTATATTGAATTGTCCAAATAGTGCTATTAATTTTAACTTTCCACGCTAGTTATAATTCTAAGTGTGATATTCTAGTTGTTTTACTGTCCTTCGTCGACAGGTTTAAAATGTACATATATTCCATTTCAATGTCAAGTATGTTCTCGTCACGATATGGCTGAAATATTGCCGATGTGACGTTAAATTCTAACTCACTCACTTCAATGACTCCTCCCTCCACCCTTCAATGACTCCTCCCTCCACCCTTCAATGACTCCTCCCTCTACACTTCAATGACTCCTATCTCAGACACTATCACTGAGTCGTCCCTCCAATGACTCAATGACTCCTCCCTCCATACTTCTCTGACCACCCTCCACACTTCACTGACTCCTCCCTCCACTGACCCCTCCCTCCACCCTTCAATGACTCCTCCCTCCACACTTCAGTAACTCCTATCTAGACACTATCACTGAGTCCTCCCTCCACTGACTCAATAACTCCTCCCTCCACCCTTCAATGACTCAATGACTCCTCCCTCTACACTTCAATGACTCCTATCTAGACACTATCACTGAGTCCTCCCTCCAATGACTCCATGACTCCTCCCTCCATACTTCTCTGACCACCCTCCACACTTCACTGACTCCTCCCTCCACTGACCCCTCCCTCCACCCTTCAATGACTCCTATCTAGACACTATCACTGACTCCTCCCTCCACACTATCACTGACTCCTCCCTCCACACTATCACTGACTCCTCCCTCCACACTTCAGTAACTCCTATCTAGACACTATCACTGACTCCTCCCTCCACACTTCAGTAACTCCTATCTAGACACTATCATTGACTCCTCCCTCCACACTTCAGTATATTCTATCTAGACACTATGACTGACTCCTCCCTCCACACTTCAGTATATTCTATCTAGACACTATCACTGACTCCTCCCTCCACTGACCCCTCCCTCCACCCTTCAATGACTCCTCCCTCCACACTTCAGTAACTCCTATCTAGACACTATCATTGACTCCTCCCTCCACACTTCAGTATATTCTATCTAGACACTATCACTGACTCCTCCCTCCACTGACTCAATGACTTCTCCTCCACACTTCTCCTGACCACCCTCACTTCAATGACTCTTCCTCCACTGACCCTCCTCCCTCCACACCAATGACCCTCCACTATCACTGACCCTTCCCTCCATACTTCAATGACTCCTATCTCCACACTATCACTGACTCCTCCCTCCACACCTCCATCACTGACCCTCCCTCCACACACCTCCAATGACTCCTCCCTCTAGACACTATCATTGACTCCTCCTCCACACTATCACTGACTCCTGCCTCCACACCATCACTGACTCCTCCCTCCTCACACTTCAGTGACTCCTCCCTCCACACACTTCAGTGACTCCTCCTCCCACACCAGGACTCACAGTGACTCCTCCTCCACACTATCACTGACTCCTGCCTCCTCCACACTATCACTGACTCCTCCCTCCACACTTCAGTGACTCCTCCCTCCACACTTCAGTGACTCCTCCCTCCACACTATCACTGACTCCTGCCTCCACACTATCACTGACTCCTCCCTCCACACTTCAGTGACTCCTCCCTCCACACTTCAGTAACTCCTATCTAGACACTATCACTGAGTCCTCCCTCCACTGACTCAATGACTCCTCCCTCCATACTCTCTCTTCTGACCACCTCCACACTTCTATGACTCCTCCTCCACTGACCTCCCTCCACACTTCAATGACTCCTATCTCACTCATCATTGACTCCTCCCTCCACACTCATCACTGACTCCTCCACACCATCACCCTCCTCCACTCCCTCCACACCCCATCAGTGACCTCCCTCTACACTTCAGTAACTCCATCAGACACTCCTCACTGAGTCCTCCCTCCACTGACTCCAATGACTCCTCCCTCCATACTTCTCTGACCACCCTCCACACTTCAATGACTCCTCCCACTGACCCCTCCCTCCACACTTCAATGACTCCTATCTAGACACTATCACTGACTCCTCCCTCCACACTATCACTGACTCCTGCCTCCACACTATCACTGACTCCTCCCTCCACACTTCAGTGACTCCTCCCTCCACACTTCAGTAACTCCTATCTAGACACTATCACTGAGTCCTCCCTCCACTGACTCAATGACTCCTCCCTCCATACTTCTCTGACCACCCTCCACACTTCAATGACTCCTCCCTCCACTGACCCTCCCTCCACACTTCAATGACTCCTATCTAGACACTATCATTGACTCCTCCCTCCACACTATCACTGACTCCTGCCTCCACACTATCACTGACTCCTCCCTCCACACTTCAGTGACTCCTCCCTCCACACTTCAGTAACTCCTATCTAGACACTATCACTGAGTCCTCCTCCCACTGACTCAACACTCCTCCTCACTGACCACCCTCCACACTCCTCCTCCTCCACTGGACCCTCCACACTTCACTGACTCCTCCTCCATCTAGACACTATCACTGACTCCTCCTCCACTGACTCAATGACTCCTCCTCCACACTCCAGTGACTCCTCCACTCCACACTTCACTGACTCCTCCCTCCACACTCCACTCCAGTGACTCCTCCTCCACTCTCCAGACTCCTCCCTCCACACTTCACTGACTCCTCCTCCACACTCCAGTGACTCCTCCCTTCACCGACTCTTCCCTCCACACTACACTGACTCTCTCTCTCATCCTCCACTGACTCAACACTATCACTGATTCCTCCCTCCACACTTCACTGACACCCACCTGTCATCATAAGCTCCTCCTCCGCCGCCACCAATCTCTGCTGCAGCTGCTGCAGCTCACTCCTGACTAGACTCAGCTCATTGTCCTTGCTTTGTAAAGAACCTGAAACCGTTCAAATCAACATCATTCCACAGAATGTACACAGTACTATCGGCTGATGGGATGTATGTCACATACTAAGTTCCTGAGAAAACCTATCTGTTACAAACACACAAGAATACTATCTCATATTTGGACATTTAGCAGACTAACAATACTATCATGCTGTTTGCGCAGAGCTTCACCAAAAGCCCATTAAACAACTGAGAACAAGGCCATAGAGGCACCCCTACTTGCATATTCTTCATTCTCCTCTCTGGCCTGAGTGTATTTCTGCTTCCACTGCGTGGCACGGTGCAGGGCGTCGGCTTCCCGAGTCTGGCACTCATTACATCGGATGTCCAGATGCTGAATACGGGCATTCAGCTCCGCCATGCTGCTGGTGGCCTGGCACACGTCCTTCTCCTAGGAAACACTCAGAGTGAGTTATCTGTACTTACTGCAGGCACCTTTGTTTGCTTCTTTGGTATTTTGAATATCCAATTCAAAGTCACAATTTACATTTCACCTGTAGGTCCGAGGCCAGTAGAAATTACCTTGGACAAATAAAATTACAATACTTCTAGCACATGGAGCCTTATAGTTTTTTACCTCATTTATGGTCCTCTCAATTCTCCCTCTCAAATATAATGACATCTGAAAGTCTTCTTATTTATTAATAAATATTAAAGAGACAAGTAATGTTTTGCAGCCCCACTGCCCCTAAGGCTTGTTTGTTTTTTAGTTATCTTCCATTCTTGCGTTATGGGGCGTACCTTGAGACGGAGCAGTGTCATCAGTTCCTGCTCCCGAGCCTCCAACTGACCGATTGTTCCGGACATGGCCTTCAAAGAGTTACCCAAACTCTCATTCTGTTTCTTAAAGAAAAATGCAAACACAGCAATTTATCGCGTATTCCAAACTCAGAGACATTGGTGAGCAGATTTTTTAAAACAAAGTACATTGTACAAAAATGAAATTTTTGGCAGTTGTTCTATACTTCAAAAATGGAACATACAACTTTATGGATGACAACTTCTTGTTTATTGTGTATTTCTATACTTCCTTGGACATTTGTCATTATATTCAATGCAATAATGTACACCTATGTATTTTACAGAAAATTACCAAATTCAGAGGTATCATACACAGCCCTGTTTTAGTGAAATGCAAGTTTACTCAAAAACTCAATATCAATAGTTGGACAAAGGCAATAATTTGAAAATAAATTCCAATATGGGCATTTTGACTGATAAAAAGGCCTTTCTGACTTGTTAAACTCTCTCTACTGAACTGTTACGATTCTCTATTTATGAAATATATATACATGGGTCTAGGCCCCCTGGGTTAATTGCCCCCCGGACAACTGCCCCCCATCATAACAAAAACACACAAACTAAAGGTAATAGTTTCAAATTTTTAATTTATTGCACTATGTATTACAACACAACATATCAGATTCACTTAGAGCTCATTTTTCAGAAAGTTCATAATTGAAAATTTTACTATAAATTGTATATTTATATACTTATTCTATCTCACGGTATTCACCTCTCTTCTTCTACGACCATGTGTTGAAAATTTTACTATAAATTGTATATTTATATACTTATCCTATCTCACGGTATTCACCTCTCTTCTTCTACGACCATGTGTGGAAACGTGCTGTAGACTAAGTTGAATCAAAAGTTATCTGGCCTCTGACCCCCCGACCGATAGCAGTACCTGTCAATCATCTCAATAAGCGTGCAGATCGCTCAGATGATCACGTGACGGTCTGTGCCTGTCATTCTCGTCTTGGAGCTTCCTTTAATCTGTGATGTGGGGCAGGTCAGGTGGGTATCCATCGCGTGAGATAGGATAAGTATATAAATATACAATTTATAGTAAAATTTTCAATTTTTTTAACTTATCCTATCTCACGGTATGCATACTCCCACGGTTGGCAGGAGGGCCGCAGATTACCCTGTCAATACTTACAACCGTGAAGACGCATAACCCAAGGAGGCCAGCAGAAAGCACCAACTCCAGATATGCAAACTCCAAACTTGAGATGGGTTGCTTCAGATAACCCCTTGGCTTACGCAGCAAAAAATCTCTAGGGAGTGGGCGATTCCGAATTAATGTGGTTTTCAGCCGCAACTTTTGACAAGCAAAAGGACGCAGTTTGGCAAGTAGGCCCCGCTGCCCCGCGATTTATCAGGTGACACCAGTGAATTAGAGTCGAGGACCTTAATCTGGCCAGTCCCTGCTTCGAAACTACCCCCCACAGACACACGCTGGAAGGCGGTGAAAGAGGGAATAGCCCGGTTGCTCAACTAGTTTAACGTTCAGTACCAATCCCCCTAACTTACCAAAGGTGAGAAAGGACTTAGGAGCGGAACGCTTCGAAAACCACGCAGGTAATTGGAAATGAACACTTTACTGACGTAATTGCTCAGAGAGTAGAGGTCAGTAAGTGGAGTGTCGACCACCTCTGCATTTAGCACAAGACTGGCCTCTCAGTCTATCGAGTCATAACTATGACAGTGCAGACACACCCTAGTACCCTAGGTGAGGTGGTCTATGCCCAATATAATCCATACCAATAAGAAAGATAGGACCGATATCGTTCATGATATAGAGAAAATGCAAAACCTACACGAAGGTAGATCGCATCCCGAAGGTCAGTGTGGTACGAGAGACTTCTGTAGATGAGGCAGATGACAGAGAAATGAACAGTCTCTTGCGTAACCGACGACGGTCCATGGAGGCAGTTAAAAGACCCGTAAATTCCGGACAGGACATAGGGAAAGATTCTCAGTGTCGTCAGGGCCCAAAATAGAAGATGCGGGAAGGCGAATAGTCTGTCCGGCTGTCCAGGCAACTGGTTTCAGCGAAGAGATCCCACTTCAGCCAGGGAGGGCGTTGACATGTCTGGTCCTCTTGAAAGGCAACCGGGAGACATCCAGTGCGTGAAGCTCGGAGATGCAGGCAGCAGTCGCAAGAACCGGGAGGAAGAAAGACTTAAACGTGACATGCTTGAAAGCCTTCTCTGCCAGAGGTTCATACTCCTCTGACATGAGATGATTAAAAACCACGGAAAGGTCCCAGGCTGGTGGCCAGAACTTCCGGGATTGATCAGCAACTTGTAAGATCTAAGGAGAGACTGGAGCTCAGGGACAGTTGAAACCTTCGCACCCGTAGCCGGCACAATAACTGTGTTACGCATGGCCAGGTATGTAGACAAGGTGGAACCCGTCAATTCCTTGGAAGTTCAACGATGCTGGAGGTACTCCGCGACCATCTGAGGTGATGCTGTAGTGGGAGATATAATACCCATCGTCTAGCAGTACGCTTCAAAATCACCACAGAGTGGCCTAGTAGAATTCGATGCGCCATGGTAATTGCCGCAGCGACTCGCTTTAAATATCCCTTTGCAGTTAGCGATTCAAGTAAAGGCACCAGCGTGAAAATTAAGTGTGAGCGGAGACCATGCAGCTGATCGGAGTGAAGATGAACCATAATATCGGCGTGACGGGAAGTGGTACTGGAATGGGTCGGCCAAGTCTTGCAGGTTAGGAACAATCTAACGAGCCAAAACGGTGCAACCCAAAATCAATGTCAACCGCTGCATTGGGTGTAACTTGAGCAGTATGCGTGGAAGTAGCGCCACTGGTGGAAACGCATACGCGTTCAAGTCATCCCAAGGCACAAAGTCTTGAACACCTGCGGATGCAGTTTCCACCCCATCGGGTATTGTCGAACCAGACGGGACAAAGAATCTGCAATGACATACTTCAATGATGTTGAAAGAGTCCACTAAGTGGAAAAAGCTGTTGTTTCAACTAAAGAAGCTGAGGAGACCCCGTGGATCCCATTCTATTAATGTGCCACATGATCGCAGCATAGTCCGATCGAAACAAAAGCTTGGTTGATTGTAACAGGTGATGCCAATGAGTGAACGCACGAATCACTGCCCTGAGCTCCAAACGTTGATGTGACATGCGCGGTCTGGGGGAGACCACAACCCTGCCACTTGCTGATCAAGAAAGTGAGCTTCCCACCCGTGTAGAAAAGTGACTACGTACAGGCGATGTACTGGCGCAAACGGCCTTAAAGAGACTCCACTGTAATTATTCAACCCATCCAACCATCATTGGAGATGGAGCGCTGGAGGAAGAGAGATCCTGAGGGACGCCAATCCTGTCGGGCCACCCTGAAGGACTGGACGAAGTGGTTCAGGAAGGCGAAACAATTCCATTGGGTTCAGTTATCAACCTTGAGATACGAGCGTAGAATCGCAGTATCTGTTGAAGTTGGAGATGGTCTCTGTATGTTGGGGCTTAAGCTGACGTCAGAAGGCCTAGCAACTATTGCCACTGAAGAAAAAAACTCTCCAGAGATAGGATACGTTCGAGTAGCCAAGCTACCATGACAGCACTGAAGAAGTGCTGAATGTAGGAGGTTCGTGGCATGGAGATGTCAGTTAACCTACAGGAACGTACACATTGTACACAGAGTGATGAAGGCTGTATAAACAGTGATCGTTGAGAATGTCTAGTTCGCCAAATGAAGTGTTGGTCCGCCAGATAGAGTGAGAAAGTTAGTAGATGCGATGTATGGGATCGTCAGTCTACCGGAACATTCGTAAAGTTGATGGAATGGCGGAGGTAAAAAAGACCAGTGACCCCAGGAACGTTTGTAAAGGAGACGGAAGGTAGTAACATCGATGCCTACGAACAGTCCGGACATAGCTGCAGTGACCTCTGAACTGAGACCTTAAGCTAAGAACCGCGTAAACCCAGCCAAAGTGAAAGCGTCATGGCGATACTGTCTGGCACCCTCGGTAAACTGTTTCTCCCGGCTGACTGACGAAACTCGACATAATCACTCTTACCAGGAATGGCACTGTCCATCATCACTGGCAATTAAAGGCTGGGATAGTTATCCGCTTTGTAGGACCAAGACCGGTCTGTCAGGGCACTCCATAATCACTCTAATTATCAAAAAATCTCCGTAAACAAACAGTAGTCCGCCATTGCAAACGCTTCCCACATGCAATAGTGACAAAAAACAGACACCACGTTCTTCGGTTAACCAGGCGAGTCCCAACCCATAACATCCGTGTTAAGGGACGCTCACTACTTGACCAAACATTGATACCACACGCAGAAACTGTGGATACTAGGCCAACTTGATATTCAGGAATAGTATACGACACTTCACTGAGTCTGGTTACTACAGACTACTCAAAGCAGCATTATGATGTATCGCTGGGTGTAATCGGGGCCTGTTTCGTCATCCTCATCATCATTCCTTTAACATCAACCAGTTTCTGGACAGAAATGTCAAACAGGGTGGTTGTAGAGCTGACATCTACGACGAAGGGTAGAGTTGTTGAATCGAATCATTCATCGAAGGTGAAGATCGGAAGGTAGATGGAGGAATCTTAAAGATCCAGGATCGTCAATCGCCGTCGTAAAATAGAGGCCTGCGCTACTGACATAACTACCACCTCTATACAACCAGCAGAAAAGATGCACTGGATGGAAGCGTTGATACTTAGAGAGCAGCGCACTGGTTTAAAACGGCACACTGGATACAATCAGCGCACTAGTAGATAACAAGGAAGTGAATGAAAGCGGTGCATTGGAGCAAAGCGTCGCACTGGACAGAAAACAGTGCATTGACCTAGTGTGTAGAAACGAGCCAATCAAAAAGCCAAGGTACTCTCTGAAGCGCCAAACAGAATGAAAGCACCGCATTGGAGTGAACGCACTGTCCGTACATAGACACCGCAAAATCAGGAAGCTAACCCCAAAGTGAAGCTGAGCACCGGTAAAAACTGTAGAAATGAGGTATCAACGCCGAAGTTGGAAGAAGTGTTCAAGGTAAACTCGCAGCAGAAAAACAACACTGTAGGTAACATAGTGTGCGAACTAGCAAACAAAGTCATGATGACAGAAGGCGCATAGAGGTAAACAGATGATTCGGCGAATGCTGACAGTACAGCGAACACATTCGGATCGGTGAATACTGTAGGAGCGGCGAACTGGTATGGTTCGGCGATCAGGATCGGTTCTGCGATCTTGGTTGGTTCGACGATCTGGATCAGATAGATGATCCGGTTCGGCAGCGTGATCTAAAGCGCTGAGTCAATCGAGACCGATGCACTCGTCTAAAACGTCGTACCATACAATAATGTTGTACTGGACTGAAAAGGTGTTCCGATCAAACAACAATTCACTAGGTTGAATTGTTATTCCAATCGAAAACGGCACTGGTCTGAAGCGTTGATCTAATCAAAAACGCACACTGGGCTAAAGTGTTGATCCAATCGAATGTGGCGCAACGGTCTAATGAGTTGGACCGAACGAGAGCGGTGAACTGAAGTGAAACGATGCACTGGTCTCGTCTAGCGAGAGCAACGCATTGGTACAAACAAAGTGATGAATGGACAACAAGTGCCGCTCTAGTAGTAAGCGGCGCACTGGAACTAAGCGGTGGATCATAGACAGGCGGTGCAAGGTACGGGAAAGGTGTTGAAAGCCAGTGTATGAAAAAAAAAGGCCCGTCAAACCGCCTGAGACAGTCCATATTTCTGACGGACGGTCTACATTTACAGCTAGCCAGCCTGACGGTCTCCAGATGTTCCATACATCTGAGTAAATTCACCATATTTGGACTGGTTAAATCCATTTTGGGCTGGTAACATTTTGAAGTTACCAGCCCTGATGTCTGGCTGGACTTTTGGCTTATTTCATACACTGTGAAAGTGCCACACTGGATACTATCGTCATGCCTGACGAACTGATCCATGTGGTTGAAAGCGTCGAAATGACTGCACTCGCCGCATTAGAGTGAACGCTTCACCAAGCACACCCACCATAACAGGGAGGCGTGGAGCACTCAACCAAAGCGACGCATTGGAAACAACCACCTGAGGTAAACTAGGAGTCACCAAGTTAGAAGGCTGAGACTGTGCTGCAGAAGTTGTTAGCACTACCACTCTCGGAGGAGATAAAACTTGTCTGGAGACAGGACTAGACGTTTGATGACGACAGAGACGACAGAGATACTCGCTCAAGTAGGAGTCTGAGGTCACCTCTAAAAAATTTACGTCCGGGGACAGTGATTTAGATCAACAAACTGCTCTCTTCGAACGGCGTTACAATATAGCATGCTTAAAAGTTGAAGGACCTTCAGCAGTTGAACGCCAGTCTCTGTCTGATCTACGTCTAGATGCAACCCATCATTCATCCTTATTCAAGTGTGAACAAACAGAAGACCGATGTGACCAACTACAACAGCCTATACAATCCACACACAAAGCGTGTGGAAGCAGCGGAAAAGTTGCTGTTGCACTGATCATAGTGTTTGTGTTTCTTAGAAGAACTTTGATACCATTTACTTCCCATATTGACAATCAAATAATGTCTAACCGAGAGAACAACACACGTCCACTCGGTGTAGCGACAAGAAAGAGAATGACAGGCAGAGACCATCACGTGATCATCTTAGAGATCTGCACGCTTATTGAGATGATTGACAGGTACTGCTATCGGAGTGGGGGGCACAATGGACGGGGGCCAGATAGCCAGGGGTCAGTTGTCCGGGGGGTACAATGGACGGGGGGCAGAAAGCCAGGGGGCAGTTGTCGGGAGGCAGTTGTCCGGGGGGCAGAAGAAAGGGAAAAGTTGTTAACAAATGATCATGTAAATGTTGGTGCAGTCGACAGGACTTCTTTTCTCACCTCCAGTGTATCCATATGAACGACACTGTGTTGTTTCTGCCGACTCAGCTGTTCCAGCTCTTCCTTGGTGGTGATGAGGCTGGCATTGTGGGTCTCCTGGTAACTTCGAGCTGCCTTCAGCTTCCCCTTCATCATATCCACCTGCTTCTTCTTTTGTTGTAGCTCACCTGGAAAGGGAGAAACAGTTTACACAGCTTTCATCCAAAGAAAAATGACGGGAAATAGCAGACAAGCTAATACATCCACCCCACATCTCAACTTTAATCCTGTCACAGTGCTGGAATTGAATAGAGTGTATAAATAACAATCCCAGGAATCCTGCCTTCTAACACATTGGAAATGATAAAAAGCTCATCAACAGGTGATTGTGTTTCTGGCTAAGGACAATACTGTACAACTCAGCATCTGACAGGTATGGGACAGGAAAGTGGACAGGTATGGGACAGGTATGGAAAAGTATGGGACAGGTATGGACAAGTATGGGACAGGTATGAACAAGTACGAGACAGGTATGCAGACAGGTATGGACAAGTATGGGACAGGTATGGACAGGTATGCAGACAGGTATGCAGACAGGTATGGGACAAGTATGCAGACAGGTATGGGACAGGTATGGACAGGTATGCAGACAGGTATGGGACAGGTATGCAGACAGGTATGGGATAGGTATGGACAAGTATGGGACAGGTATGAACAAGTACGAGACAGGTATGCAGACAGGTATGGGACAGGTATGGGACAGATATGGACAAGTATTGGACAGGTATGCAGACAGGTATGGGACAGGTGTGGGACAGGTATGCAGACAGGTATGAACAGATATAGGACAGGTATGGGACAGGTATGCAGACAGGTATGGGACAGGTATGCAGACAGGTATGGGACAGGATGGTTCAGCATGTCCAGGTAGGGAATAAATCTGATTGATTGTTTGGAGATGTTTGTTGTACATCTTGACGCTTTAACTTAAAATCTTCAGGGCAAAACTATACTTTATTACATTGTACTTTGAAGGAGATCAAGCTTTTTTTCTTATTTATTAGTAATAATGCTGAAAATGTGTAAGTTCCATGGCAATATTGAATTCTTTTATGTGACAATGCTATTAGCATAACTTCTCTCAGTGAACACTCACATCAATTCATCAGACACTCAGAATAACCCAATTAAAAGTTCAGTGGTATATTATCTGATACAGATAAGAGTTCACCATCAGTCAAGGGCCCACTTACACAATTCGATCTTAGCTCTACGATGATCGTAACTCACATGCTCAAATATAGACTTAGATAGTTGTAACACAAAGATCGCTTCATGAAAGTGGGCTCTGTCACTGGATTGTCTGGTCCCGACTTGATTATTTACAAACTGCCGCTATATAACTGGAATATTGCACAGTGCAGTGTTATACAACAAACAAACAAATCTATCGCTGGGATCTGCTGACCTTCATATCGAGAGCACTTCTGTTCCAGCATCAACAGCCTCTGTCTGTCCCGCTCCCAGGCCAGGAGCTGACTGCTGTGAGCTGTCACTGTCTCATTCAGCTCATGGTCTCGCTCCCTCAGCTCCTGAATCAACAGCTGAATCTCCCGTCGCTGTTTCTGTAGCGTTGTGCTGTCTATAGGAGATGTGGGATTCTGGAAAAGACATGCCAAACTGTCGTAGGTTCATAGGAAGGAACATGCTTCAGCATAATATATTTTATTGCAAGAAAAGTATTTACTAGCTCCAAATTTTGAAAAAGTGTAAAAATAAAAATTCAAGCATACTTTTTTTAATCAATGAAACTATAAAATAAAATTAATTAACAAAAAATCATACATTATGTCCCTTTCTGATCCAGACAACTGATACATGCTAAACAAGCTCAGTAAGTGTTTACTCCAGGGCTTGTAACAGAGAATATGGGGACCCAGTTTGGTTGTGCTGAGAAGGACCTGGTACCCACAAGATACTCAGGTCAGTTGCATTCTTAAAAGGACCTGATACACACAAGATACCCAGGTGAGTTGTGTCCTGAGAAAGACCTGATACCCACAAGATACCCAGTTCAGTTGCGTCCTCAGAAGGACCTGGTACCCACAAGATACTCAGGTCGGTTGCATTCTGAGAAGGACATGATACCCTCAGGACACCCAGGTCGGTTGCAGTCTAATAAGGAGTTGCATTCTGAAAAGGACCTGGTACCCACAAGATAATCAGGTCAGTTGCTTTCTGAAAAGGACCTGGTACCCACAAGATAATCAGGTCAGTTGCATTCTGAAAAGGACCTGGTACCCACAAGATACCCAGGTGAGTTGCATTCTGAAAAGGACCTGGTACCCACAAGATAATCAGGTGAGTTGCGTCCTGAGAAGGACCTGGTACCCAAAGGACAACCTGAGCCTGTGGTTAGTCATGTGATGCATTGTTGACAACAACAATGAAAGTCAATAGTTACACTGCAAGTTGCTAATGTTCAGATCTCTAATGTTTCAGATAAAGAAAAAACATAACGCTTCAGTCAAATTCAATGTACAGATGATCAGATCAATCATAATGGCTGAAGGGGTCAGCACAGGTACTACAGACAAGTTTCAGTACACAGAAATGAACCCTTGCTAAAATCAGAATACAGAAATGTACCCAATGACAAGTCAAATCCCTATTTCATCGTTACCTTGATTGGAACTGTCATATTGTTGTAGGAGATGAATTTGATTGCGCTTATTATGAAACAAGAATCTCCAGTATTCCACAATATTTTTCGCGATGCACTGTATCACTCTAACTACTACAGTAAAGTAAATACTACAAAAAGTTTCAGTTAAGTATTGAGGAATATGGACTGTTAAGCCCTTTAGGGTACCGGCTACGTTTCTGTTTGTTTACTTTGTTTAGGGTATATTTCTGTATGCAAAAACGTACCTGTGTTTAGTCTGAAGTGCCTTTGCTACAATGACCCCTTCTGCATGATTACATGTACCTAGATAGTGTTTGCCAGGGTTCTTATAAAACACTTCCCAATCTGAGATCTAGTATCCAACTCTTCAGATTTACAGTGAGCATAAATGTCGGGTGGGGTAAATGGGATTTCGGTTCTAGATCACAAAGTCAATACATACATGTCTTGGAGAATGTAGGCTCACTGGTGACTGCTGTTTTTCTGAGTTCATGGAGGTATTGGATCTGTCAACATCCCCGTTCCTCTCAGACTGGTGACCATCACTGACAACCTGACGTACTGGAGAAGAGGGCTCCACTCTCGCTGTTATACGGACTGGACGAAGAGGGCGTTTGAAGGGACCATCCTAGTTGTTAGAATAAAGCAGGACATCAATAGCTGTGTTGTGACATTTGTGACATGAAAAATGCACTAATTAAAGAAATGAGTGAGTTTACCTCCTTTACTGCCTCAAGTCATGTTTTGTAATCTTAACTTACAAAAACTCAGAAAGATGATAAATAATCTGTCGATAATTATGCTGTGTATAGGCAAATAAATTGTATTGCAGGGGTGGAAATAACCCATTGCCCGACGCCCGAGTCCAGTGTTTTTTCCAGTCGGGCAAGCAAATTTGTATATCACGCTGTACCAATGTCCAGTTGACTTTCCATGTTAATTATGTTGTTTATTTAAACAATCAACAAGAAAATCGGCTGGTATAGAGGAAAAATTATCAGGGCAAGTGATTTTACATGTGCCACTGTACCGGTGTACACTAGCAATTTTAAAGTTATTTCCACCCCTGTATTGCAATAATTTTGAATACAGCATATGAATTGTGGACATGATCAACTTTTGTATTTTCACAATAGCAATGTTTGGTATAGCTTCTCATACCATCTTCAAGCATATGGGGGTAATGATGGGGTACACCAGTTTATATACAGGATACATGTACATATGATAATGTGATAACAATAACAAAGGTGAATTGTGATATGTGATATGTGGGAGTGGAAGTGTTTGACACAGAGTAACACTGATTGTACAAGCAGATCCTATTTTTTCCATACTAAGTCCCTGAACTCAAATGATATCAATGTGATAACATCAATTTCAAGAACAGGTTAGATTGTTAAAGATTCTTCCCTTTTATACAAGTTCTAGTGTGTAAAGTACACATTATTTGTCAATTATTCAAAGGGAAACATCAGAGGTGAATAAAAGTCTGAGTAGATTTTAACCTAAACTGTAGCAATCAGGACAAATTTTGTTGTGATGTTTTACCCAAAATACCGGTTCTCAGAACACATATTGCATTTGGAGTGTCAGTGAGTGAGTGAGTGTGTTTAGCTTTACGCCAAACTCAGCAATATTACAGCTATATGGCCACGGTCTGTAAATAATCCAGTCTGAACCAATCAAGTGATCGACAGCATGAGTATCATTCCACAAAATTGGGCTACAATGACATGTGTCAACCAAGTCAGCAAGCCTGACCACCCGACCCCGTTAGTCGCCTCTTACGACAAGCATGGGTTACTGAAGACCAATTCTAGCCCGGATGTATATTGCATTTGAACAGACGGAACCTTTAAATATTACTGCATATTACTCACTACAATACATATCGGTAAAATCATCAGCGGTATTTCTTACCTTGATAGGTGTGCTATGGTGCGGACCTTCTCTCTCCACTAGACTCTCAGAAAAAACATCTTTAAAAAACAACAACTTATTGTTAATTAAACACTTCATGAGTGTTAAAAATTAGTATGGAAGTCAAGGGCCCTCAAAAGGCAGTTGCAGGATATTTGAAAAGAAGATATACATAATATACTAAAGACAATCAAGTCAGTGAGCCTGAACGCCAGCTCCCGTTTGTCACCTCTCATGACAAGCATGGGTTCCTGAAGACCAATTCTAACCCAGATCTTCCTGTGAGAATATTCAACATTTCCAGTGTTGCTATCTTTTTTTCAGTGTGATATATTTTCTGTAAATTACAAATTCACTTGTTTCACTAAAGCAACAAGCACAACTGACATGTTCACAAAACCATTCTAAAATATATAATGAATAAATACATCTTCATTTCAAAGCCAGAATGTGCAGAAATTCTTACCAGATTCATCTCCAAACATTTCTGTAATCTGAAGTTGTCACCAGGTCCAAATCACAGAGAGATATCAATATACTGAAACAAACATCAAGGACGTATGAGGTAGCTTGAACTGCAAAGGTCTACTCCCATTTGTGAGAACTCCCAATTGTTAGACTCCCAGTTATGAGAGTGGAGTAGGTAATTAACAAAGAAAACACACCATGCTCCCCTGTCTAATAGAATGGATTAACCATAGCTACTTACTGATTTGCTATGTAACTAAATCTTTTGGAGGTAACTTAATGAAACTTTATAAGATATATTGATTAACATACTCCAGTAAATGTCCTTAAAAATTAAACACTTTGATAATGATAATAAAATATGTTTAAACCAAAATGATTTTCAAACTTCATAATAGTCAATACAAATGTGTTATCATAATTACATATTCTTCTGAATAAATAAAATATTTAATGAACTATTTCTTCTTTGTAAATAAAATCTTTGATAATCTATTTCATTTATCAACTCGTCAATGAACTATGCCTCCTGTGGGTTCTCTTCAACAATTGGGCTGATCCCACTTTCATTGTAGGGATGTGGAAACACCACCTATGTGCACTGAACCATTAATTAATGTGTCTCACAACTGGGAGTTCTCACAAATCGGAGGACACCACTGCAAATATTCAGCATTATTGATTGATTGTATAGATGAAAACGTGGAAAGGCCAAAAACAAGACACATGTTTCTGGTCTTCAGATTCTGCCAAATATAACACAACTCTTCTTTCTTTTTTTATCTGTCCTTTTTTTTAAAAGGGTATTTGTAGGATACTCCAACAAAATGAAAAAGATGGAAAATACATGAATGAACAATAGGATGGTATGACAGAGAAATTAGGCTGGCCCCAAGCAACTCGGAGAAGGTGCAACATGTGATATATTCGAGGTTACACTCTCTCAGTAAAGTACAGTATTTGGGGTTTAGTCCCAAAGGATTCCAAACCCTCACTAGTAAGACAACTAAAGCCTGTTGTTCACTGAGTTTGTTTGTTTATTTGTTTAATACCGAACTCAGCAATATTCCACCTATATCATGTATATGGCGGCTGGCAGTCTGTAAATAATCAAGCCTGGACTAAACAATCCAGTGGTCAACAGCATGAGCAACGATATACGCAATTGGGATACGATGATATGTGTCAACCAAGTGAGCAAGCCTATGTTCACTGAGAACAATCTGGTATTCATGGCTGGAACTCCTTCAGTCACCACATCATTTATTATGCTTATTGTTGTTTTCTGTTTCAATCTGAGTAATGAAAGCAAATGTCAATAAATAAAAGAGCCAAAACAGGGTGAATGTAAAGCCGAATTTCATATTTTGTCCCACTTGGAAATAGATAGGTGATTGTAAGAATATAAAAGATGAATAAATATGGTAATTTACTGAATGGGTACTACAAACACTGATTTATCACAGAATTATCCAACTACATCTGGTCATCACATGAGTGAGTGAGTGAGTGAGAGAGTGAGAGTACTTTACAGTGTGCACTTTTTTCGCATTCCAAGTAGCACAGTGTGAGTAGTGGGAAACAGGCACTGTCACAGTGTCAGCTGAGGTATTTGTTTAATAAGCTATCACACATAAGTGTTTTCGTTTTTATTAGAATAATTCTTTAAAAGGTGAAATATCTCCTGCTGTCAAACTAACCTGAGTGTAAGAAAGGGGTAGCTGACAAGTACTGAGGGTAGACTGCAGTATTTGGGTGATCAAACCAGAAGCTGCAATTTTTACGCTGTAACAGCGTTGTCCTATCAAAACTGTTACATGCTCATTCATTTAAGTGCTCCCCCAAAAGAACACAAAGTTGACATCACCAGAACATGGCTTCACTATCTACTGTAAAATTCTCAGACTCTGGGCAGAATAAGACTTCAAATCATTCCAGCCACTTAATTAAATAATATTATATGCGAGTTATATTAATTAAACAAGGTACACATGCATTACACCTGACACCTACCAACCACATTGGATTACCTCCCAAACCCTCAAATAAACCTATCAAAGTAAATTGATGGAAGCTGCGAATAATGGAATATGACGGAAGGTGTCTTATGAATGCATTCTTAGCATTAAAGTCAAAACTAAAGTGAGATGAAAGATAATTAGCAATGAATGAGGACAGGATCCATCAAAAGAAGGTATCAGGAAGGATGGGATTTTTTTCCCATAGCGGATACTGAACCATGCTCGTAGCACTTAGTGTTTTACAGGCCGCCTATTACTACCAGTACTCACTGAGAGCGGTCGATTCAACTGAAGCGCCCGTTAAATCGCCAATATCATCATGGACAAATGCAAAACCGTTTCTAACCGACGACGTGAATTATCTTACTTGCTGCACGGTGTGTTTTATGGGCAGTTTTATGTAAAACAATCTAACTGATTGTAACAGTGATTCAATCCTGTACAATGGTCTGAAGTTTTCTGCCAACGATAATTTGAGTTTCATCTGTTCACCTGCTTCACTTCACACTTGTCGGTTTGAGTCTGCTTTTCGGAAACGTATCCTATGACCATTCTGTTTCATAACGAAACGCAAAATATCATTGTCCACAAATGTCCTCGTCAAAAAATATATTTTTTCCTTCATTGATCATTGTTTACATAGTTGGCAAGAACTCCGCTTGTTCAATCACGTTCGTTAGCCACAGTCCCAAACATCCGGCGAATGGGTTATAATAAAAGAAAGATTATACTATTTATCTCTTTGTATTAAATCAAAATTTACTGAACATGTATGTATACGCCTATATACCTTGTCATGATAATAAAAATATAGAAAATAATAGATGTGCTTTGAACAAAATTAGACATGTTACTTTAAAGCAAAGAGGAATAGAATATTTCCGTTTTAGTATTACACTGTTCGCTACAAGACAAATATTCTAGCGCATGCGCGCACGACTCTTTCACAATCTACTTCCTTCCTGTGCATGAGGCTGGCAGAAGATTGGAATATAATTTCATTGAGAGACTGCTTTTAGAGAAGTTGGTTACTGGAAGTTCATTAAGGTAAGTTTTCATTCACGCATAATCAAGGGCAAAAGGCAGAGACACTTGTCGGACTGACAGTAATGCAGTTTGTTTTGGCGCTGCTTGTAGAATTGATCTTCAGTAACCATGCTTGTCAAGAGGCGACGGTAGCGTCTGACCCTCTGACAAATCCGGCAGATTCGCCAACGGTCAGACAGAAGTCTACAACCCGCCGACCCCAGTGTCTGACTCTATATTTCACAATGACTTTGATTGAAGTTGTTTTATGTGACATGTGACACTTGTTTGCGGTTTATAAATCTTATTTTTGTTAATAATTTCAATGTCAATTATAAGAAATATTAAATCTGAAATGTGTGTTTAATTTTATTCCATGGGTCCTGTGCATTTTCAATGGGTCAGACAGACATTTGAAACACCATTCGTGAACACTGTTAACGTATCCTAGTTGTGTAGATCGATGCTCATGCTGTTAATCACTGGATTGTCTGGTCCAGACTTGATTATTTTCGTTTTCATCATAAGATTTGTAGCCGCGTGAAAACTAAACTCACTCACTCACTCACTCGGCTAACCCATGCTAACCAAATACTCCTTTACAAGCGTTGGCTGAAAGTATAAAGTATGTTTTATGATCCTTTGGGATGATCCTTGATCCTCAGTTCTAAGTTGACCTCTTTCAATGAATAACAGCAAATTGATTTAAGGATAGTCCATATGATTTTTATCAACTTCTAGCGACATCAAAGTTTACAAACAATCAGGTGTTTTGAAAGATGGTCAGAACTATTGTCCTTGGTTAGTCAGAACCCCAAACTGTAATGGGGTCAAGATATGACCTTGATGACCCTACTGCGTGTGATTGTGGCAGGCTTTTATGGTCATTCGCAGGGATGGCAATTTTCTGCGGATCTGCAGAGTTCCGCCAATTTTGTTTCAAATTGATCATTTCTGTGAATCGTCTATATCTGTTGAATCCCCCCTCAACCCCCCAATTTGATGACACAATATTAAGTTTTCAGCCAAAAATTGATTTACCTGTTGCCATCCCTGCATTCCTTCAGGGCTGCAACGATTGGGTTCCATTCATTAAAAATCAAATCTGAAGCATTAGTTTTGATTTTCGATAACCATTATCACTATTTCAATTCATTATTTGAATACCTATTTAAATTATTTCCACACTGCCGGAAAGTAATTTTGACCCCAACTCGAGCAGTTTTGAGCGCTGTAACAAGGCGAAACATGATGATTGTCGTGGGGCCAGTGATTATTAGCCAGTGAGAATTGTTATTAGTAGACATCACCAAGTTGACGATGGATTTCACGCTAAAAACGCTGACTCTGAGAGTTAAATGAAATCTGATGTTTTTACTTGTATGAAAAGTCAAATAAAAAATGATCGAATCAAGGGTCCAATATTGAAATTCGAATCAAATCGAGGTCTGTGTGAATCTTTGCAGCCCTAATATCCTTACCTTGTCATGACGAGCTTAAACTTAAACCTGTTTGGTCATCATGATCATGTGGTAAAGACGTCTGACTTCAAATCATAAGGTCCATGGTTTGAATCCCACCATGGGACTCAGAAATTTTATGGCCTCTGCAAGATATACTCATAATGATGTAGGGTCAGGTCTTGGTTGTCCGGGCCATTGTAGTTTTGACGTAATCAGAACTATAACCATGATAACACTGTGGGTAAAGTGTTCGCTTGACAGAAACATCACGAAAACCAATTTCTGGTGTCCTCCATAGTGATCTTGACGGAATATTGCTAAAGCACAGGGTTTTACGGGACGTTTGATTCCTGCGTATTGGACGCAGAAATTTGATGAAGTACCCCAAAATAAAATCCAGTGAGTCCTTTTGGACGCAATATAATTTTTTTCTAGGAAAGAACTTTCTGAGTTTGTAATGATATCCCATATTAAAATATAAACATTCTATTTACAATCATTATTCTAATGACATTGAAAGTAACACATATTATAACATAATCATTATCAAATGGGAAGCATCCATGATCATTGATTTCATGCAAATTGATAGACTCCCAAGTTTGGAAATGGACTCTCAGAATACATATGCCCTGAGTCCCCAGGACTCCCAGTTTCAAAGAGCTATGTAAAACCCTGAAAGCATTGAACCTTTACTTGTTGAGGCTGGGTTTAAATAATTTACCACCTTTTGTGAGTCATGAATTAATATTTGTATATGTCGGTACAGTCACTCTACCATTGTTTACAGAAAGCTATAAGAATGGCTGCTGCAGATGTTGCAGAATCAGGATGTGGTGATCACAAGTTTCTGGAGTATGATGGCCCAAGGAAAGGGGGTTAAATACCCAATGAGGGTTCTCTACTGTGGAGGTGAGATCAGCAGTATGATCATGCGACATTTGTTTTCACAACATACTTAAAACAATCGCTCAAGAAGGAGTCTGTATACAGTTGGCATTTCCACAGAAAACATAAAAAAATTAATTTTGAATTGCATGTGTACAAATATGAGTAAATAATATGAAAACTACATGTTACAGAATTTCCAATGATTTACGGAATCAGTCAATGCTTAGAATTAGATACTACCCCAATGTTCTTTCCAATCTTGCAATTTGTAACTGTTTCCATTGTTGTCTTTCAGAGTGTAGTATGCCTGTGGAGGTAAGTTTGATGTTTTTGAAGGGTGAGAATTCAAGTGAATAAACTCAATAAATAAAAACAAATCTTCATATTCAAGGATCGGTCATTCATCATGTTCTGTAATCAGATGTTTTTCTCTGATACCATACCTCTTTGCTTGAAAATCAGATAAAACCTTCCCAGAAGATGAACCCCAACTGAGTAATGACCTTCCAATCCAAGTGAAGCATGTATTAGGCTCTCATGCATGTTTTCAAGTGAATATTCCAGTATTTGGTTCATAATTAGATATTTGACGACCATTACTTGCTCAATGTTATCCATAAATCATGAAAAGACACAAAGTGCATCAACATTGCCAGTGGTCTGTTAGTCCGGCTGGTCAGAAACTAGTGAAATCTTGAGGGACAAGTTGATATTTCTCCAGTCTAGTTATATTTTTGAAACTCCACTTCGGAAAGAGGGCTGGACTGGTTGGATATGACCTATGAGGAGTAACTTTAAGGAGTAACTTTAAGTCTGTGTCTTATCCGAAACTTCATCACTGTGGAACATTGTTAACATAGACCTCATGTTTTATCAGACTTGAATTAAAGTAGGAAATGAAAAAGACAGAGTTTATTCAGAATCTTCAACCCGTGAAGATCCGAGTAAGAATTGATCTCCAGTAACCCATGCTTGTCGTAAGTGGTTACTAACAGGATCGGGTGGTCAGGATCACTGGTTTGGTTGACACATGCCATCTTATTCCAGTTGCGTAGATTGATGCTAATGCTGTTCATCACTGGATTGTCTGGTCCAGATTTGATTATTTACAGATTGTCGCCATATAACTGGAATATTGCTGATTGTGGTGTAAAACTAAACTCACTCAACATGGTCAAGAAAACGAATCTTCATGTTTAAGGATCAGTCATTCATCATATTTTCTGTGATACAATACCTCTTTGCATGAAAATCAGATGGCACCTCCACAGAAGGTGAACCCCCACTGAGTAATGACCTTCCACTACTTCCAGTCTAAGTGAAGGATGCATGGGCTCTTTAGCATCTTATAAAGACTTGGCACTCTTTCTGTACCATCTCAGATCGGTCTAGTGGATAGAGCAGTTACCCAGGGGGGTAGATTGTCAGAGGTTCAGTCCCTAAATAACAATACAAGATGGTACTTGTTGAAACTTTGTCTTAGTGTTGGTGAACTAGGACTAGCAAGCACACACATGCATGGATATTGAGGCACCTTGATTCACCTTGATTCAGGGTTTAGTTTTGCAAAAAGTGATGCCATCATAGAACATGCATATACTCTTGATAGTACATTGGTGTAGATGTTGTGACTTTCAGAAAGTACAATATTTATAAAATATCCACAATATGAAAGTCAGATATGCATGTCTGAATGCTTCACTTACATAGGGGGCGGTGGGGTAGCCTAATGGTTAAAGCGTTGGCTCGTCATGCCAAAGACCCGGGTTGGAATCCCCACATGGGTACAATGTGTGAAGCCCATTTCTGGTGTCCCCCGCCGTGATGTTGCTGGAATATTGCTAAAAGCGGCATAAAACCAAACTCAGTCAGTATTACAAGAGATAGAAGCTTCTATGTTGATTGGCTGATGAATAAGTTCACCTAATGGACCTCCAGTGGACGTTGTCTTATCTTCTCACAGAGAGACATCATAATTTATCAGAGGAGATGTTGATGATGATGATGATGATGATGAAACTAGTACCGGTATGTAAAACAATACTCCGTCCCTCCCTGAGGATTGGACAGGGTGTGTCAGTAAAAACGTATCCAGCTATATGATTGTGAAAGAATTTGAGGAGAGTTTTGAAGGTAAGAACAGTTACAGTGTTTACATGACAGCGGAATATTAGCTACATGTCTGTGTTTGGTAATTTGGGGTCCTCCTGTAGAGCCCTTCAAATATGCCATGATGGGGAAGGGTCTCACTCATAAAGACACAGGTGAAATATGTGTGCATCCCTCTAATTATCGTGGTTACCATTGGTTGCAGTACTGTGAATTCTACCCCAACTACGAGAAGTGCAAGGAATGGCTGAAGAGTAACATTCCAGAGGAGTTTTCCAGGCTCATGGCAGGTTGGTGGGGACAAAACTTACCCTGTAAAACCTCATAGTAAAAAAAGGGGCGGTGGGGTAGCCTGATGGTTAAAGCGTTCGCTCGTCAAGCCGAAGACCCGTGTTGATTCCCAACGTGTACAATGTGTGAAGCTCATTTCTGGTGTCCCCTGCCGTGATATTGCTGGAATATTGCTAAAAGCGGCGTAAAACCAAACTCACTCACTCACTCATAGTAAAAATCCCCTGCTTGATGGACAGGAGGCACCAGAAATCTAAGGTGCCACAATCTGCTGTGCACAGTTGTAGCTCTTAAATGTGTCAGAGGGACCATAGACCTGTAAACCTGTGAAGATCTTGGTTAAACAGAAATGAAAACTGGAATTATCAGTCTCAGTATAATGGACATGGGCAAACTTTCAAAATTGAAAAAATACATTCATCATGATTATCTTATTGATATTCACAGGTTTGATGATGGATCAACAGTATTCATCAAGTTGGCCCATCATGAGTGCCCTATGTCATTGTTTGGAGGGGCTTGGGGTAGCCCCCCACATGGGTACAATGAGTGAAGCCCATTATGTCATTGTTAGGAAACTGCCAACCTTTATGTTACGGGATCGGGTGGTCAGGCTCTGTGTCTTGGTTGACACATGTCATCGTATCCCAGTTGCGTTGATCGATGCTAGTGTTGTTAATCACTGGATTGTCTGGTCCAGACTCGACTATTTACTGACAGCCGCCATATACTAGTAGTTAAGATAATTGCTGATTGCAGCGTTAACAACAAACAAATTAATGTTACCAAAATAATCTGTCAGCACCATGATCACTCTTTTCGCGCCAGATTCAAAAGTCAAGAGTAGAATAGAAAACTATTTCCTGAAGCATATTTAGTCTTGCAACATACCTCCTAAACTTGATTTGAAAATGTTATATTCCTTGCAGTACCCAAGAACATATTGTCATTAAGCAAGACAAACATAGTTAAGTCCGATTCCATATTTTAATACATGTGTAAAATAAACAATATCTTGAAATGTTTAAACACATGATTATTTAAAAGTTAACAGTTTAGATAATGATCTTGTAAAGCAGGCTTTTGAAATAGGATACAGGTTTCTGCATATTTAGTCAATATTTAAATCACTGACAAATAATTTAGAGCCATTAAACTGCACCTGTACTCTTAAGGAGGTTTCTATCTGAGTCGAACTTTTGAAATGGTCCCTTGGTGTGCTTGTGTGACCTTGACCTGGTGCTTGTTCCAGACAAAGATGAAGAGGAGGGGAAGGCTGGGGAAGAGGACGGGGGAGAAGAAGAAGCGACAGACCCGAGGGGGGAAAGGTATGATGAAAGCCAAGAAGAAGACAGAACCACAGGGGATCAAGATGTGGACAGCGACGAGGGGCAAGAAGAAGAAGGTCACATTTGTTGCTGGCTTGGCATCATATGGTAAGGAGACTTAGCTGAAATGTCATTGCAGACTTTGACAGAATCAGTACCATTGGATTGAAGGAATTGAACATTGTTGATATAAAGCAGGCTTCACACCAACTTGAAAAGTCTTGAAATTGGGACATTTTTCTACAAAAGTCATTTTAGTCTTGAAAAGGTCCTAATTGCCAGTGACTTGCCCTAAAAAGGCACTATATTTAGCAAAAGTTGTCAAGTTATGATTTTCCAGGAAACATAATAAAATGCATAATAAAAATACCATGTAAGCGACATTTATAATTTGTTGCAAGGGGAGTGGTGATCATTTTAATGGTGAAGCATGTACAATGTGAATGACCTCACAACACATCCCCCACCCCAAATTTATGTACAAGGTAAGTTAACTTTCCCATGATTTTTAAGCATACTATTTTAATATTTATCTCATGTGAGGACAGTAGCAAGGGATCTCTCAATCGAAAATCTCTCTCTCTCAAAGCATTGATTGGTATTGGACAAAAGGGAGGTAATTAGCTCTGACTCGTGATAGGACATATAGAAGTTTATAATGTTTGCAAAAGTACAGAAAGTCATGTGTGATAGTCAGAAAATCCGAGGAAGGTCTCAAGACAGCAATAACTGTTTTATAAACACAACTGATGAAATTGAAACGTTGCCTTGACTGTATTTTTTATTTAGTCTTCAGAAACAAGTGTCCATGGTAATGCCTGAATTACCTCCCTTTAGATTGTTTCAAGCAAAACCAATATCTGGTACACAAATACCGTGAATGCAAGTGACGTGTGTGCTTTATCCTTTGTGAAACTTTCTGCATGTTTTTAATCATCATGTCACTCTAGTTCAAACAAACTATATACAACCCATGAACATGCGGGTTGGACATTGGTCTTCAGCAGGCCATGCTTGTCGTAAGATGCGACTATTGAGATTGAAGGGTCAGACTTGCTGACTTGGTTGACACATGTCATCGTTCCCCAATTGCATAGATCGATGTTCATGATGTTGATCACTGGATTGTCTGGTCCAGACTCGATTACTTAGAGACCGCTGCCATATAGCTGAAATATTGCTGCATTAAACAACTAAGTTCCAATGTTCACGAATGGTGTTTCAAAGTAACACGACATTGGGTCCTGTAAGTCTCATGTGTCTGTCTGACCCATTGAAAATTTACAGGACCCATACAATAAAATTAAACTCACATTTCAGATTTAACATTTCTTATAATTGGCATTGAAATTATTGACAAACATAAGATTTATAAACAGCAAACAAGTGTCACATGTCACATACAACAACTTCAGTCAAAGTCATTGTGACAGTCAGACACTGGGGCCGGTGGGTTGTAGACTTCTATCAGACTGTTGGCGAATTTGCCGGATTTGTCAGAGGGTCAGACGCTATTCGTGAACACTGGTTGTCAACCAAGCAAATTATCGGGCTGATTATTCAGTTGACAAGTCTGTACTTTTTTCCTGTCTCTCATGTTAATACTGGGGATGTCACATGACACCTGACTTGCATTTCAAGACAATTGTAATGCATCTGTACATCACCAGTGACAGAAAGATCAGCTTTGAAAAATTACAGGCAGAGATGGCAAGGTTTTTGAACAAAATACGTCCAACACCCCCAAAACACTTTTCAGGGACCATGAAACTTTTCCATGCATGCAGGTCACTTTTGATTTTGTTTATTCAGCGTATTCAGAAAGGTTGTCAAGTTAATCATTAGTTTTGCTGATTTTCGTGATCCATAGTGGCATCTAAGCTGCCTTAGGGCGGTGGGGTAGCCTAGTGGTTAAAGCGTTGGCTCGTCACACCGAAGACCCGGGTTCAAATCCCCACATGGGTACAATGTGTGAAGCCCATTTCTGGCGTCCCCCGCCGTGATGTTGCTGGAATATTGCTAAAAGCGGCGTAAAACCAAACTCAGTCAGTCAGTTTAAGCTGCCTTAGCGCTGTATTTTGTAGTCAGATTGGGATAGCATCCTCTACAGTGTGACATGGGACAGTGGGGTTGCCGAGTGTTTGACATGAATGTGAAGGGCTATTGGCATGCAGACTCACACTTAGTGACAGGTAGGCAGTATGTTCATTGCTTCAGTCTGCGAGTTGCAGTCTTTGGAACAGATGTCTGACACAGACACAGTCATTAATCACAAGGCTTAAGAAATCATCCCTAACAGCGAATCATATCGCTGTCTGCTTACATGAATCACAGGATTTAAAGATACTGATCATTTGATAAACAATAATCTGCATGCTCAGCAATCATGTGTTGTGGCTGTCAGACCAAACTGACACATTCTAGTCAGTGGGTAATGGTGTCAAGAGCTTAGAAGTGTCCATGGTCTCATGTAATGTTTTCAAATTAGTCCATGTTTACTCTTGACTTTCTGGGTAGGAATTGACATGTCTGGTGGTGTCACTATAACTCAACATCACAGATTTTAGGGTGGGTCTGTAACGATATAGGGATCACTGTGACAGCCAGAACACCCCTGAATATTGTCCGAGGTAAGGTCTCTGGACAAGGTTACTGTTATGCAAGTTCTCTTGGATCATGACATTAAAAATGAATGGTCTCTGATATCATGCTTTTCATACACGATACAGGTGTTGGGTTAAAGCATTCGTTCGTCACAGGTTCAATGACCCCATATGGGTACAGTCTGTGATACATGTTCCTATGTCTTTGTACAGAAATCGACCAGAAGGATGCCTGCAAGTTCTTCGCCACCAAGTTTTCCTGTGGGTCGTCAGTGATGGGCGAGGATGAGATAGTCATCCAAGGCGATGTCAAGGACGATCTGTGGGACATACTTCCAGAGAAATGGAAACAGGTAACGTTGGTGCTTGGTTTCTTGAGCATCATGGTGTCTTTATGACCCATGAAGATCTGGATTAGAAATTATCTTCAGCAACCCATGCTTGTCACAAGAGGTGACTGATGGGATCAGTTCGTCAGGCTCGCTGACTTGGTTGACACAAGTCATTGTATCCTAACAGTGTAGGTGGATGCCCATGCTGCTGATCACTGGATTGTCTCGTCCAGAGTGGATTACTTACAGACCGCCACCATACAGCTGGAATATTGCTGAGTTCAGCTTTAAAATTAAAATTAAAATGTTTATTGTATGAGTGAGTGAGTTTAGTTTTACGCCTCACTCAGCAATAGTCCAGCTATATGGTGGCGGTCTGTAGTCTGTTTGAAGACCTTCACGTGTAGTTTATTGTGTGAAAGGCCTTAGGCCCATATACATGAAGTGCATATGGCAAAGCATAGGATCATTTTAAGGAAAGATTCACACTTCATTTCAACCAGTTTCTGCTCCCGTAGGCATAATTCTTGGTAGTTTGTGGTTGCCATGAGGCGAATAAATTTTATACTGAAGACAGGATTAAGTATTTATTTGGTACATATGGCTTTGAATGTTCTTTAAGGGTGGACATCCGAGGTTAAATGGTGCAGATCTTTGATATTTTGTAAGTTACGTCAATGCTTGATCTTGGTTTCATGAGCACTGTCGATTGTCAGGATATGGCGGAAATATTGCTGATGTGATGTAAACATTTTAACTCACCCATGAGCACTGTTCCCGATCATGTAGATACTTATGTATTGATGGTAAGGCCGGGACGATTCACCGATGTATCACAATACATTTAAGTTTGATGCAGCTATCGTATCATCAACTGGTGTATCGATACGAAACGATGCACAACTCTTTTAAAAAACAGTACATATTTAGAGAATTATAATGGAGTTACTTGTTTGTTTATTACAATAGTGTTATTGTTAAACACAAATACCTTGAAATAAATCATTTTAATTCTTGATACCGTGTCATTCTTTCAAGGTGTATGTATCATGATACGTATCGTATCGCAGGTAAAATATCGCGATATGTATCGTAACGTGACATAGTGTTTCGTCCCTGCTCTAATTGATAGGTGTCATAGAATGGGAGTCAAACTTCAGTGAGAGTCCTTGTGATCTAATTGGTCAGATCCTGGGCATAACATGTGGATTGGGTGGTCAGATTGTAGATGATTGTTGCTCATGATATCAACCACTTGATTATTAGGGCTGCGCAATATAACCGGTTTACCGGTATTTACCGGTTCAGACATGAAAACGATACGTATTGCGATACGCTGATCGAAAACCGGTATTTTGACATGCATTCGGAAAACTTCGTAACACTCGGAAATCTTCGGATATGTCCGGTTTTTTAATTGTTCTTTTCCCTGTTTCATTAGTGCCAAATGTTACTTACATTTTTATTTTGTCATGATTAAAAGTTTTTATAAAAGGTTAATCAATCATAGTGATTTTGTTGTGTTTTTGCTTTATAATCAAGCATTAACTCGATCATAAGTAGTTTTTGTTAAAAAATAATCCTTGCAATATATTGCAATACATATTGCAATATACGCTTCCGCATCGCAATATGAAAATTCTCTGCAATACCCACCCCTATTGATTATCTACAGGCCACTGTGGTCTGGTCCAGAATAAATTAATTACAGACACTGTCACAGTTAGAAGGGGCGGTGGGGTAGCCTAGTGGTTAAAGTGTCTTGTCACACCAAAAACCCGGGTTTGATTCCCCACATGGATACAATGTGTGAAACCCATTTCTGCTGTCCCCCGCCGTGATATTGCTGGAATATTGCTAAAAGCGGCATAAAACCTCATTCAGTCGCTCATAGTTAGAATATTGCTGTAAATGAAAACCAGATTGCATGGCACAAAACAATATCGTTTCTCTCTCACACAGTGTTGACATGGTAGGTGAAAACTATATCATAGTCTTCATCACTGTGAATTACATCCATTTTCTTGTGTTTTTCTTCCCAGATTGATGAGGACGATATAGACGACAAGGGAGATAAGAAATGATGGATGATCATTGTCAGCACTCTTCGCTTTATGTAAATAAATGATTTGAGGGTATCCACCATAATGTAGACTTTTGTCGTTTGTATGGAGTTGTTTTCAAGTTGCTTGCCTACAGAGAATAACTGTATGGCTACAGTGATGCATCATGATACTAACACATTATACTAACAGGATCAGGTGGTCAGGCTCGCTCGCGTAATTGACACACGTCATATCATAATGGCTTAGATTGATGCTCATGCTGTTGATCACTGGAATGTCTGGTCCAGACTCGATTATTTACAGACCGCCGCCATATAGCTGGAATATTGCCGAGTGCGGCGTTAAACAACAAACAAACAAATCTATTCGACAAAATTAAGGGATAATCCCAAGTAGACAGAAAATGTCACGTAATGTAAGAAATTCCAGAGAGAACCAGGCAGTCTTGGCACCAACACAATAAGTGAAATTGCATTTTAAACCACTGGGAATCTTTCTTAGAAGATCCAGTAACCCATACTTGTCATAAGAGGCGACTAACGGAATCAAATGGTCAGACTCACTGGTCAGAGACCGTTCATAATTTATGGCTAGGGGGCTTTGATGATGATATTTATGGAGAAGCATGTACAATGTGAATGACACACACACCCCCTAAAATTTATGTACAAAATAAGTGACCCCCCTGCATGTCATGTACAAAATCAATTACCCCTACCCATAAATTCTAAGCATAATTTTAAACATATTTTTATGTACAAAATTGATGGAAACCCCAACCCCACCCCCAGTTAGTGTGTACAAAAGTGATGACACCCCCACCCATCCAGAATAAAATGGGCCTCCCCACCCTTAAAATCATCATCACCACCCCCCAGCCATAAATTATGAACGGTCCCCTAGTTGACTCACACTGGATTTTCTGGTCCAGACTTGATTATTTACAGACCAACGCCATACAGCTGGAATTTTTTTGAGTGCGGCATTAAACAACAATCAATCAATCAATCCTGTCTTTGCCCAAAAGGGGAATCCCCTCAGTGGCCAATTTTTTGTTTTTGGGGACTATTTTGCTTTTCATTTATTATCATGCGTTTGTCTAATTGTTTATTTAAATTTTTGTCAAGCATTTGTGATTATGCCCTGAAATATTGAAGTTGTTTTGTTGAGTAGCCCTTTAAGATAGGAAAGTTAACATGCATTAATTGCTGAATCCGCGTTATTACATGAACATTGTCTGCAGATGACCTCATTGCTCATAGTGACGAAAGGTTGGCTTATCTCGGACCAGATTATCCACAGCTTGGTCATATCATGGCAGGAATATTGTAACAGCGACAACACAATTTTCATTCAACGTTTATTCATAATACAGAACACTCTTTAAACTTTGTAAAGCTAAATTAACAATCTTTAAAACTTCAAACAAATGGTTACAATCTATGTCTTTATCTCTCAAAGCAGAATGTTTTGTACAATGAAGCTGTATATCATGACATAAATATGAGTATACACTTCCAAAAAAGTAGGGGAACTTCATAATTTACAATTGTCAAAACAGATCGTCAAAATTAATGGTCCGCAGTGATTTATCGACCTTCTTGAAAACCGTCAAAACCAAGAATGACACCCCATGCACCTGTATGGGGCTACTGCGTTGTGTACGTGCATCCCATGCGTTGCGTTTAGGGTGGTGATGACAAGAAATGGTGGTGCGTTCATAAGATGTCTTTTTGAAAAGTTTGTTAACGCTTATGCTTTCTATCCAAATTGAAAGTTCAGGTTTCCCTACTTTTTTTTGAGAGTATATGTAAATAGTCATATTTATCATTTTCATTGTCAACAGGACCCAGTTCCCACTGTGATCATGAGAGCTCCAACAATGCATGACATACATTCACTGGCATCTGGCATACTGTCTAGATGTAAAACTAGTCACATTTCATTCAGATCCTCAAAGGTGAAGTCCTCTTTTGACAGCAGGAATTAAGGAAGAAACACTGAACATATACTTATTAAATATGGAACAGAGCTAGCCAAAGATAATGCTGATTTGCCTGTAGTCCAGTTTTCGTTTTGTGGAGTACATTAAAGTACAAGAATAAGACAATCAGAAAAGGCAACACTTGTCATATTCAGAACACTTAAAAAATCAACTACATATCATCCCCTAAATAACCAGCATGGGTGACCAGCAATAATTTACAAAATCTGAAAACCTCATATATGTACACTGTATATCTGCTGAACAGAATTGCCAAAAAGGTTTCAACAATATACTTTTTGACTAGTTCAGGAAAATATATATAGATAGATATATAAGAAGTGAGACATTAATAAACTATTGTCTCTCTGTGTGTGTGTCTATACAATGTCTGTCTGTTAATGTGTTATATCCTTCCTTTTGGCGAAATCAATTAGTAAATAAACACTGGAAACAAAAATAAGATTTTGGTGGCTGTGACCAGAGCATACAGACCTAACAAACATTCTATAGTTCAGCCAATCAACTCATTGCTGCCTTGTGGGGTAGTGTACAGAACAACTGAAAGACTGTCCTAATCTACTCTTGGCATACTTGTCTCGATGTCGGTTAAAAACAGTCAGTGATGATTTTGTTTTTCAATGTTACAAAAGATCTGAGACAAACACAGAGATGTCAACATATTTAAATAATGATAATTCCGACGAAAGCATCAGCAGCAATGCAAATGTCAGTAAGAAGCAGATTTTGCTGGACTTCTTTACAGACTTATCGAAACACTTTATAAACAATCATATATAACAATATACAGTTGATGAACAACTCCATGCAAACTTTATGTATGAAGACATTGAAGTGTAAACCACGATGATATACAGGAAATATATTCTTTTGAAACCCCTCACTGCACACACAGATAACTTGAAGCAGATACCATGTATCTTACAAGTCATTTCAATATGTATCTGATAAGGGAAAGCACTATTAAATGGGTTGTAATTTTTATAATATTGGTAGAGTATTTTGTTCTTATTACACAACCTAAAATTGCACCTTCTTAGTACAGATCAGGGGTGGTGGGGTAGCCTAGTGGTTATATATAAACTTCTTTCTTAACACAATTGATATGAGGCAAATAATTTCCAGAAGCACATTTAAAAATATTTTGTGAGACTAGACGGATGATTACATTTATAAAATTATTATTTTCACCTTTAATGAAAGGTTTACAGATACTTGAACAGTATTAAGCCATTGTGTTACTTTATTCCATAGTTTCTTTTTGACAAAACGAAAGTGGTGATTCTATGTATTTTATCTTATAAAGAAAAGATTTTGATGGTAAAATGTTGTGGATAATCTTGTATTGTAACCACCTAACTTCAGTACTTATGTACATTTGTTTGGAATAATATGATAAATCATCCATTCTTTGTCAGTGAAACATCTGTCTAAAACACGTTCCCATTTGGAATGACATGGTGAAGGATGAGTTATTATTATTGATTGGTGATTGAAGGGAAAGTTTGTCAACATTAACCTTTAAACCAGATATTTACAAATAGTTGCAAGACGTTCAGAGGCATTTTTTTGATCCATCTAAAGAGTAGGGTCATCATCAAATTGGGACAGAATATACATGGGCGGAACATGGGGGGAGGGCATTTTGAAAATGATTTAAGTCCAAATTGATGTTTGGTTTTTTTTGGCGTTGGATCCGCCTATGATATATTCTGTGTTACCAATACTAATTCAGGGATCAGAATGGGTATGAGTGAAAAGAGAGGAAAATGAGCCAGATCCAACGATCCCCACAGAATTCCGTGGAAAATTCTCATCCCTGCCAATTCCTTTAAATTATATAATTGTTACATAACATTATACCTAATATTTCCACACGAATAAACAAATATATACAACAACAATTTGCCACAGTTCATCCTGAGTAACATTTCATGAATTTATATAAGGTATTCTAGAATCCTCACAAAGACACATAAGAGAAGAAACATATACCAGGGGCTTTTTGAGAAAGGGGGGGTGCACACTATTGAGAAAAGGGAGGGTGCACACTTCATTTTCACCCAAGTTTCAATGGTCATTTAATGAACTTACAGTACAAAAGGTGGGGTGCGCACCCCAGCACCCCCCCTCTGGATCCGCCTATGTATACAATATTAATTACCTGAATCACAAATGAATGCTCATTAACCACGGTCCTTCCACACACATTGCTTCTTAGCAGTCATGGGTACACCTGGATAAACGTTGAGCACAACCTCCTTAATATTTCTACTCCATTTATTAAAAAATATCAAAAACTGATTATAATGTTAAATACCTGTCCTGTATGGATAGTTTCCTCTGTTTATGAAGGGGTGGTGGGGTAGCCCAGTGGATTAAGTGTTTGCTCGTCACACCGAACACCCGGGTTCCATTCCCCACATGGGTATGTGTGAAGCCCATTAATGGTATCCCCTGCCGTGATATTACTGGAATATTGCTAATAGCAGCGTAAAACCATACATACGCACACTCACTCACTCTACATTTGTATCAGATGGGGAGTTAGCTCCTTGTGACTTCGGACTCTTTGTTGAACTTATTCCCCGCAATGCCCAGCACACCATTTAAACCACACAGTACCATACACAATAGACCATAATAATGTACAGTACCTGTGACCACTTGGACTAACAAACACACAGTGGTGTCCGATTTCTACAGGTATCACTATCTTCAACATTTATGTTGATGAGAAAAGATCCGGGATAACAAAGAAAGGACATATAATATTTACGACAGTGAGACACTTTCAAAATAAATATGCATAAATCCAGACACTACATATCATTTATGGTGTTTTAAGGTGAAAGAACATCTTTTCCGCCTTCATCCTCTTTCCTTAGGTCAAGTTCCCATTCCTTAAGTTCCAGCCGTTGGATCCTCACTTGAAATGTTTATCTACTATAACCTTCACTTGGTTGGTGGGCGGTGGGGTAGCCTAGTGGTTAAAGTGTTCGCTCGTCACGCCGAAGATCCGGGTTCGTTTCCCCACATGGGAACAATGTGTGAAGCCCCGCCGTGATATTGTTGGAATATTGTTAAAAGCGGAGTAAAACTATACTCAGTCATTCAGTTGGTTGGTAGATCATTGTTTTGGGTATGGGATCAAATGTGATCAAAACAGCCCCCGTGTTTTTCACTCAAATGATCGTAACATGCACTAGATTTTCGAAACCAGGCAAGGCACAACCAACAGAAGCTGCATTTGCATGCTTTACAATGCATATTATTGCAGCCTTCTGTTTTCTCTATGGGGGTCTTACAGTTTGGGCACTTCTTTGTTGTTTTGGAATGGGCTGCCAGCCACTCTTCAAGGCTGCCTTCATCATCCTTGGCACTGTTGTACATGGCACAGGTCAGTCCATCATGATACTGGGCGTGGCAGGTAGTGCATATTCTCACACTGCAGTCGGGGCACCGGAACACAGATCCCTTCGAGGTCACTCGGTACACCATGTCACAGTTTGGGGTCAAGCAATACTTGAAGGTTTTGGTGTTTTCGCTAACAAAGGAACTCAAAGAAGAGCTGGCCAGGTTTGCGACAGTTAATGTTCCTTCTCGCACAAAATTGGACAAATCCTTCCATGCAAATGGCTGCTCACACCCATCATGCCCACAAAGGCATGGGAAGTCTTTGCCAGTGACTGCAGCTTCCAGCTGTCTCCTGACACAGTCCAGGCAGTAGGCGTGCCCACAGCACTGCAGCCTGTACAAATCTTTTGGTTCTATTGGGCAGAGACAGACACAACAATCGGGAAGTTCCTCCTCCTCTGAAGTTTTTACACCCTCCAGCAATTTAGATGAAATGTCGTCTATGACTGTGACAGCTTTGTCAATGTCTTCAGCTGATCCCACCAATTTTACAATCTGTCGCTTGAAGTTCAGGACAACTGATCTCAGCCCAAAGTCCTGCTGTAGCTTCTCAAGTTCTATGCCATATTGATTCATCAATGCCTTCATCAGCCCATTGGGTTTGTCTCTTCCCTGCAGGTGCACCTCCATCAAATTTCCTTCGGACAGTTCCTGGAGATAATCATTGACTGCAATGAGCACTCTTGTGCATGCCTCCTGTTTCCCTCGGATTGAAAGTGTAAAGGTTCTACCATCAACTTGAATGAAAGCCTTACATTTCTTTTCTGTGTCTTTAAGAAAGTCTCTTCCAGCCCTGGTAAAGAGTTGACGCAGATTCGGATTTGCACCACATTCCAGAACGTCTCCCTGTACAATGGTCTGTAGATTAGCTCGAACCTTGGCCAGTTCTATGGAGCTGGAGGCATGGATATCAAGTACAACAGTTCCATCCTTCAGTGTCTTTGAAGTCACTCCAACTTCTGTGTAACCGAAGGTCGGGAATTCTTTCAAGTATGCATCCAGGTCATCTTTGATGGCTGCATAAACTTCTCTGTTTACATACAGTGATGACCTTATGTCTGGCTCCATCGTGACCACTCGGTCGTTGATATAGAACTGCCTGGACAAACCTTGGCAAGCTGCTATTCCCTCACTTGAGTTGGTGAACGATGCAAATGCTAGGTAGTTGACACTTGTTGGAAATGGCTCTTTGACCTCCACATGGAATCTCTTGTCTGGCGAAAAGGTTTTGAGCTGTGCCTGTAACCGGGTCTTGAAGATACCCAGTTGATCTTCTGTCGTGGTCACTTTCTCTCTCACTACCGTTACCTTTTGAAATATGCCAGTCTCATTTTCATCATAATTCAAAGAGGATAGAATTGCTTGTTTGATATCATCTTCAGTGATAGTTTGACCAAGATTTCTAAGATAAAGGCTCTGCCCACTTTTCCTGTCAATTCCAACATTTACAAGTATCCCTTTGATGTACATTGGCCCTCTTCGTAAAATCGCTGGCATCACCTCTGGTTCAACATCAACAAACCAAATCCTCTAGACTCTCGTCTACACCATGTTATTTTGACCTTGAACTGAGAGTCTTGATACCCTCGGCCATGTTTCTCAGGAGCAGCAACTTCTGAAGAATCCGATTTTGTTTTCTCCACAGCTTCTTTTGCTGCTGCTGAAGATTCATATGTAATACAACCCCATCTCTTTTGAGGATTCTTGAATATCCTGTGGCTCTTTATCTTTCCAAAACAGCCAAATTTGTTCAAGATAGTGTCTTCTGAAGAACTGTCATCAGGACGATCAACAAATATTGTTCTGTATTCATCTGCCATGAGGATGTCTTTCACAGCTCCCCCTTTACCAAGGATCACACGGACACCAGCATGCTCTTTAGACTGACCCAATGGTACCTCCAAATCTTCTCCTTCCAAAAATATTTTCACAGGTCCAGTCACCTCATTGAATAGGTGAGATAATTTGCCAGTAGCATGATCAGAGCAAAATATCTTCAGTTCCCCTTTTTCCTTTGATGCCTCAATGACAGCCAGATGTGGTTTAACTAGATTTGATGCTTCTTCTTCAAACTGTTTTAGTTTTGTAAAACTAGGACCAACAATCTTCCAGAAAAGAAATGATCCGACATGCTCAACATGCACAGGGAGGAGTTGTTTCTTTCTCATCTCTTCAAGATCTCTCTTTAGTCGTCCAGATTCAATGGCTTCAACAACCCAGGCTTCATCAACTGGTGTGAGTCCTGTAATGAAGTCTTTGGATGTCTTCATGGACTGCTCGAAGACAAGCCACTCAGGAACCAAGTTGAGTGGATACAGGACTGATGAGGGGTGAGCATGAACCTGTTGATCAAGTCTAGGGGCATAATATCCTGCCTTTGCAAGTCCAAGAGAATGACAGATGTTGGATGTGAAGCTGTCAAAGAGTATTCTCTGAAGTTTCCCATCCGCTTCTTGTGGGTCTTTGAACTCATGTGTAACCTTCCCTTTTGCCTCCTTCTTCAAAAGAGTCATCACCTCATTTACTGTCTCTCTGGCGATTCGCAATGATTTGGAGTTAAGGCTGTTTGCAAAGCACCATTTGTTTTTCTGCTTTTCTGGCTCTTTGTTCCATTCTCTGTAGACATTCAGCAGAGTGAGACTATCACCACCATTGTGGCAGAACTGTATCTTCAGCTTGTCAGCTTTCTTCTTATCATTGTCAGCGCCCCCTCTGAAGAAAATCGAGCTTCCTACATTACTCACAGCTGCAAGAACAACAGCATCAAAGAGAACATCTTCAAATCTTCCTTTCTGGATAATAAGTCCTAGTCGAGGTTCTACAGGAAGTTTTGCTAGTTCTTTCCCTTCTTCTGTGATCTTATTGTCTTTGACTGCACCAAGTTCCTCAAGTGTAGTCATAGCTGTAGCTATTGCTGATTGTCCTGGTGACTGAACAAATTCATACTCCAGAGGATTAATTCCAAGCTCTGTCAGTTTCAGCATAGCCTGCCCTAGGTGAACTTTGAGTATCTCTGGCAGTGATACTGCTTCCATTTCCCGATACGTCTCTTCACTGTAGAGTCTGTAACATTTCCCGGGACCTGTTCTTCCTGCCCGACCTTTCCTCTGATCTGCTGAGCTGCGACTAATGAGGACTACACTCAATGTGCTCATGTTCCGACGAGGATCATAACGTTTCTCCTTTGCAAGGCCAGTATCGATTACATACTTGATTCCTGGAATGGTGATTGAAGTCTCTGCACTGTTTGTGGCAAAGACAATCTTTCTGATTCCTGGAAGGGTGGCCTGAAATACTAACTGCTGCTCATCTGGTCGAATCTGACCATGAAGAACCAAACATTTGAAGTCAGTCCTTCCCTGCAGTCTGCTGTTAAAATTTTCACTGCACTTCTCGGTTTCTAAAGGAGATGTAACAAAAACCAGAATGTCGCCTGGAGGATCCTTTGTGTGGACATGTACAGCCTTGTTGACAGCTTCTTTTTGATAGTTATCAGAAGACTTGCCCCCGTCACTTTCAGCTAGGTACTCAACTTCAACGGGAAACATTCTGCCAGATACTCTCAAGACTGGGCAGTCACCAAAATATCTGACAAAGACGTCAGGGTCAATAGTCGCTGAAGTAATGATTGCCCTGAGATCACGGCGCTGTTTCAAGCACCTCTTCAGCATTCCAAGGAGCAGGTCAGTGTAGATGCTTCTCTCATGTGCCTCGTCTACTATAACACAGCTGTAGGCAGACAGAGTTGGATCTTTCAGACATTCATTCAGAAGGCAGTGATCAGTCATGTACAGGATCTTGGTAGCTCCTCCACATTTAGAACGCATTCCTACTTTGTAACCTACAACATTGCCCACATTTGTTACTAGCTCAGATGCAACATGGGTTGCCAGACTTATGGCTGCAACTTTCCTGGGCTGTGTACACACGATAAAACCATCTTTGCTGAAGCCAGCCTGATGGAGGTACTGTGTCATCTGTGTGCTCTTCCCTGACCCAGTCTCGCCTAATATGACACAAACCTGGTTGTCCTGTACCATTTTGATTATATCGTTTCTTCTGGCATACATAGGCAGTGCGGATGTAAGTCTACAAAGCTCGATACCAAAGTCTCTCCTTAGATCGCCAATGTGTTTAGCATAGGTATTATCCTTCCACAGTGAAACAAGTTTTGACACCAAGCCCTGCATAAACGTTTTAAACTGCTCCTTCTGCAGTTTCAGCTCTTCCAACTTATCCTTGAGAGCAGTCTTCTCATGCTGCATTGCCTGATACTCATCAATAGTTACATGTTTGTTTGTGGACAGTCTCTCAATATCCTTAGAAATAACATTGATTTTATCCATGTGATCACTTAAAGCTTTCTTTTCCCTTCTTTTAATGATTGTGAGATGCTGCTCAAATTCTTTTTCATCCCTCTCAGTAGGAAGATCCAGTGCCTCATTCCTATCCAATGTGCAAACTAACTTCATCTTAGATCCTCTGTTACTTAATTTCAGTATATTTCCGACTTTGTTTGCCACAGATTTACTTGGTGCTTCAACCGAAACTACAGTGCTTTTTCCAACATGCTCCATTTTCACAACTTTGACCTCTTGTTCAGTCTGCATCCGTGCCCGAAGAAAACCTTTAACATCATATTTATCGTCGAGATGTTGCTGGATTCTAACATACAGAATAACAGAAATCTGCTTTCCAACTTTATTTCTCAGGAACTCATCAAACTCATCCCTGGGTTTGTTCTTTTTCTGGGCTCTCATTTTTGTACCTTTCTGTACCTCTCCTTGTTGCTCTCTTTTCTGATTAGCATCTGTTTTGTTCTCCTTTCCCTCCAGGACATCCTTGGTGGATGTTCCTTCTGACACGCGTCTGGTCTTTGTTGTGGTCCTGGTGACACTATCTCTTTGAGGACCCTTTTGTACCTCTCCTTGCTCCTCTCTTTTCTGATTAGCATCTGTTTTGTTCTCCTTTCCCTGCAGAACATCTATGGTGGATGTTCCTTCTGACACGTGTCTGGTCTTTGTTGTGGTCCTGGTGTCACTATCTCTTCTTCCACTTTGTGTTTTCTCAGGAGGACCTTCTTGGCTGATCTGTTGCTTTGAGCGAACATCGACAGTCCTGGAATGTCTTCTCCCTTTTGCATCTTGTCTGTTGCAACCACCCTCTCTTGGCAACTTTTGTCTTTCCTTGTCACCTTTTCCTGAATAAATACCACCTTTTGATCTTTCATAGACCGTTTTTGTGGGGGCCTGCTGGTTGTTGGTAGCGCCGAGACCATGTGGAGATTGATCATCCTCAGCAGGAGTGTCATTCATTTCTTTGGCAGCGTCTGGTTGATCTTCCTTTGGCTGATCTTGCTTCACACTTGTTCTTGGTTTTGGGACAGGTGTTCTACCTTTCCTATTCATCTCTGTCCTCTCATTACTGATCCTCATTGAATGGTCCATTGGCAAATTACTTGGAAACACAGCATCTGAATCATCAGCAAGATCAGATCTAACATAGACTTGGGTCTTAATAGACCCTTCTTCATCATCAATCAGCCCTTCCTCATTGGATACTTTAGGGACAGCTGCCATCTTGGTGACACCGAAAGACTTTGATGCTGCAACTGGTTTCCGTCTGCCAAGGCTTCAGAATATCTGTTCCACCTCATTCATCACTCAAAGGTACACCTTCTCACCCTTTCATTGGTCTCTTCTACACAAGCCTTTCCATCTGAAAGATAAGAAATATATATGAGACAGTGTACTTGATTTCAAGCTCACAAGGAGTGGTGGGGTAGCCTAGTGGTTCATCACGCCAAACACACAGGTTCGATTCCCGTGTACATGGGTACAATAAAGTCCATATCTGGTGTCCAACATTTCATTATTATTCAGTTATTGTTTGGCTTGATTACAGTATTTTGAACAGCATCTGAATTTGGGGTAATTTGTTTGAATTTGTTAGTCAGGTGGAAAGAGCATACATGGAGTTGAAGATGTCAAGAGATGGTATTTGTTGTTGCCATGCCTGGTGTTGGAAATTATGATAAAACGCTGATTGGTTCAGAATAATGTTTCTGAAAGGAATATCCATTTTAAAATGTGGTACAGTATTTGATTGGGTAAGCCCTATCAAACCTGCATTACTGGGGTTTTACGCCACATTTAGCAACATTCCAGCAATATCATGGCAGGGGAGGGCTTGACACATTGTACGGCGTAATGAGCGAACACTTTTACCATTGGCTACCCCAGCAGTATCAGTTTACACTAGTACTCACAGATATTATACATACATAACTGTTTTAAGTGCATTGACATTCAAACTCATTTTACCCCACCTTCTGAGTTTCCAGATGTCATTGTCACCAGACTTATAGAGACTTTTGATGGATTGGTCCCAACATATACTGAATAAAAAAGTTGGGGATCTTGTATATGTGGGATATACAAAGGATACTAATTGTATTAAACAAGTTAATGATTTGGTATCAAACGAGCAAAAGCGGGGTTGATACTAAATCTTTCACGAGTTTAATATAAATGGTATTTCACGGAAGCGAGTTTAGTGTTTTGGGCCTAGATTTTCGAAGCTCTCTTAGCGCTAAGATCGTCGTAAGTGCCATACATTAACATCAATTTACGACTATCTTAGCGCTAAGAGAGCTTCGAAAATCTAGGCCCTGTTTATTACTCTCCAACATAAATTGATAGAAACTGCCTACAGTGTGACGACTCTCAGTTTTCCGCAAATCAAGTAAGATTTAATACCGTTGTGGGATCATAACTGTAAACCATTATGACATCATACGTCCGGCATCACGCAATGTTATTACACAATGTGTAATAACATTGTATATCTTCAACGGGTGAGTAATGAACTTGAATAAACTATCTTCACAAAGGTCCAGGATTCCTATATGTTTTTGGTACAGTATATGTTGTTTTTGGTACAGTATAAGTTGTTTTTGGTACAGTATATGTTGTTTTTGGTACAGTATATGTTGTTTTTGGTACAGTATATGTTGTTTTTGGTACAGTATATGTTGTTTTAAATATGCTATTATGAGGATACACAGATTTTCCAGGTGCAAAAATAAACTAGAACTGAAGGATAGTTTATAAATGTCACAGGCCACTAGTCCATTCACTGAAACATTCATGGCTGTCAATTGAGCCCATATATTAGATGCAGCAAAACAAAAGCGCCTACAGCTGGTATGGTGGATGTGTGTCTAATGTTGAGCTTGTAATATGTTCGAATGAGAACACATTGTGTCACCTGTAAGATAATATTCAGGGCTGAAACAGTATCTCTGACAAACTATCTCTGCACTATGCCCACACCTCTAACACTGAAACAGTAGCTTCAGGGACAAGCATGCAGATCGCTATAACTCTCAACCTTTATCCCACCAGTTCTTTCTGTTTCAGAAGTGAGACCTTAAACCTTAGCAGTGCAACCTTAAACCTCAGCAGTGCAACCCTAAACCTTAGCAGTGATACACTTGTCTAGCAGCCTTAGCAGGGCAACACCTGACATTAACCTTAGCAGCGCAACACCTGTCGTAAAGTAATAGCAGTACAACACCTGACGTCAAACCTAAGCAGTACAACACCTGTACATGAACACAGGACCAACTACACCAACACATGAACACAGGACATACTACACCTGTACATGAACACAGGACCTACTACACCTGTACATGAACACAGGACCAACACATGAACACAGGACATACTACACCTGTACACGAACACAGGACCTACTACACCTGTACATGAACACAGGACATACTACACCTGTACATGAACACAGGACCTACTACACCAACACATGAACACAGGACCAACTACACCAGCACATGAACACAGTACATACTACATCTGTACATGAACACAGGACCTGCTACACCTGTACATGAACACAGGACCAACTACACCAGCACATGAACACAGGACTTACTACAACAACACATGAACACAGGACCTGATACACCTGTACATGAACACAGGACCTACTACACCAACACATGAACACAGGACATACTACACCTGTACATGAACACAGGACCAACTACACCAACACATGAACACAGGACCTACTACACCTGTACATGAACACAGGACCTGCTACACCAACACATGAACACAGGACCAACTACACCAGCACATGAACACAGGACTTACTACAACAACACATGAACACAGGACCTGATACACCTGTACATGAACACAGGACCTACTACACCAACACATGAACACAGGACATACTACACCAACACATGAACACAGGACCTGCTACACCAGCACATGAACACAGGACCTGCTACACCAGCACATGAACACAGGACCTCTACTACACCTGCATATCTTTCCTATTATGGCCAATTAGAGCTGATTAGGCTATAATCATACAATTTAGAACAGCGGGAGCTGATATGGTTCGGTAAAGATAGTGTCAATTTCGTCGGGTCATTCATATTGGGATTTTGACAACACCACAGATATTTAGCAGGCACATAACTGAGAGAAGTGAAAAACAATCTTCAAGTAATAGCAAAATAAATAGTACATGTATTACAGATGTATTATGTCTGTCATCACCTACATATCAAATACAATGAAATTTAATTTTTCAACATATAAATAACAAATTAAATAATTATGATCAATTAAAAATTTCAATCTCTATAACAAATGGCACTGTTAAGCATTGTAAACATCAAATGGTTTACATTTTAATGCAGTGTCTACATACAGCCTACCTTCAAAATAATAAGATGGTTATAATAGTCATGAAAAAGCTCATATTTTAAATTTAAACCCAGCTTTTTAAGTTTAATAAAACAGGAATTTACAAGACACTAATTCCTGCGTCCTATACGCTTAAAAATTGACAATGGATGCAACAAAAGTTATTAGCGCGTCCACAGGGACGTAAAAATTCCAATCAAGTGATAATAAGTTATCACTGAGTTAGCTACTAGCTGGGTTATAGTATTGTTTGCAATTTAATTACTGTAACAATTAATGTGAGGACCATGATACACCACACAAACAGTATTAATGATAATATTTAAGTGTCTGGGACCCCCATTTTGTTGTCCAGGACCCCTGAAAATTATAAGTATTAGTCCCAGGGACCCTCAAATACAGAGCTTAAGGTAAATCCCTGATAAAAGCATAAACATATCAACATGCAACCATAATGGGGTTAAATTTGAATTAATGTGATCATAACTGTTTCATTTAACAATATTTGATTTTAAACACAGTTTCTTTGGCTGATAATTCTTAACAAACAGACATAATGCTGCAGGTGTCTTTGAGAACCCCTGAATGAAAATCAAACTATAAAGCTACAGCTATAAAGTATATATATATACATGGTCTGTCATGGAAAATATATCTATACTGTTAACATCGTGTTACTAAAATCAGTAAATACATTTCAAAGGGAGAGTTATCGCCCTTGAGAACAAAAACAGACCACCCATTCCAACGCATGCGCAATACATGTAATCAGATCTACGCCCTAGAAACGGAAAGTGCACGGTTTTCCCGATCGATCTCGAGTTATGCTCATACAATTATGACATGCACGCGTATATATAGCACAACCATTCGTGAGTATAGCTACACCACCGTTTAGGTCCCAAACCCCGTCGAATTTGTTTTTGTAATCTCAAGACAATACGAGTGAGACGCAACCAGTCCTGAAGTATGATCAATTTTTTCACTTCATATTAATTGGCTCTCGGCTACATTCGATATGAAACATATTTTCATTTTTTTACAATCCCAATTTCTTGAAATTCAATCAATCCTGAAGCTGGTGAAGTTAAACACCTGTACCAAGATAAGACGGCAATATACAGCTCAATACTCCACTAGACGCAATCGGCTCACTGTCCGTCCCCGTATAGTCTGTCTCACAGTCCCTGAACCACATTATTCTCCCTATGCCCAGCCCCCCCTGCAATGTTATTTAAGGCCCTAAATGAAGCCCAGGTTACCTCAAGTTCTTTGTCACATCTCAGTAAGGCTCGATCCTTTTCAAGTTAAATCGGATTATTTGTTACTGTCACAGTTATATTCAGAAACTAAGCGTTAATCTATCGATCGCCTCGAAAAAGTATTGATCAATCCGATACAAACTACCACATATGATCAAAACATGTTTAACTTACCTTCCACCTGTCATCAACGTCCGACTGACTGAGTCTTTCTCAGCTGTATGCTGATCTGCAGGTGACACTTCTGGGAAATCACGGGACGTGTGAGCGTTCATTGTGATAGACAGTGTGTTAGTGTTTACAAGATCAAATATGTCACTCTCATCTTAACTGTTTTGTGGAAGATTCATTTGTGAAAAATGACTTGTTTTAAAGTAGGGATTAGAAATACTATTTCAACTGGACTAGTTGTTGCAGAAGAAGACATCTTCCGACGAAGTATTGAGACCTCCCGTCTTACTTTCGGTTTGGACTTTCCAGGAAATCCGTAAAGATCATCACGTGGTTTCGCCGTAAGCAGATTTAGAAACTAATTCTCACAGTGGAACTGAGTCGGACGTTTTCACTTTCAAAATCATGTCGCGGACAGCCCGACTTAGATAGTGAAATAATTCCATTTTACTTCTGAGAAGATTATTTTTTTAAATTCTAATTACTAGTATATATGAGCATTTGAGTGGAATGATTTAATACCTGTTAGCTACTTAATGCAGTTTACGAGGGAAAGTAGACACAGCAGTATTTCGGTTGTAAACAACCTTATAGTTCCTGACTCAGATGACGAATTACGAAGTGTCGGCATTAAAGAATAAAGTATGGCTACACCTCCTAAGTTATCTCCGTTTGACCGGTGTGTGTGTGCGTGTGCTGTATCTGTGTTGGAGAGCATGAGGTGAGGTGAGGTGAAATTGGGTTTAACGTCGTGCTTGAGAATATTTGGCTCTTATGACGACGTGCATGCATGTGTATGTGTATGTGTGGCTGCTGGTATTACTAAGGATCAATAGACGGTGACGTCACGCCCTTGTGTGACAAGATCACTAGACGGTGACGTCACGCCCTTGTGTGACAAGATCTCTAGACGGTGACGTCACGCCCTTGTGCGACGAGATCAATTATCGGTGACGTCACGCCCTTGTGTGACAAGATCACTGGACGGTGACGTCACGCCCTTGTGTGACGAGATCACTAGACGGTGACGTCACGTCGTTGTGACGAGATCACTAGACGGTGACGTCACGCCCGTGTGTGACGAGATCAATAGTCGGTGACGTCACGTCGTTGTTTGACAAGATCACTAGACGGTGACGTCACGCCCTTGTGTGACGAGATCAATAGTCGGTGCTTTCCTTGTGTTAAGGCCACGTCTTTGTAACGTCACAGGTGTAATGAGGTCATGGATGGATCGACGGTAGGATACGTCTTCTAATCAACTCAGTTACAACTGTTAATATTCATTAACAACAACGATTTAAAACAAACAGAATGTGGTTGAGATAGTATTATTCGAATCATGCCAGTTTGTCAATATTTACATATACTGACGGACATAAGTATTTAGCTGGAATATTATCAGTGGGTTTAGGTTTACACCGCTTTTAGCAATATTCCAGCAATATCACGGCCTGGGACACCAGAAATGGGCTTCGCACATTGTACCCATGTGGGGAATCGAACCCAGGTCTTCGGCGTGACGAGCCAACGCTTTAACCATTAGGCTACCCCTAGCCCCTAGAATATTGTGAGATAGGTAAAACAACAGGTAGTCACTTCCAGTAGACCGTTTACATGGATCAACTTAACAAAACAATAACTAAAATAGTTTTTTTTTTAAATATGTATCTTGAAAAATGGATCAACAGACAAATCAGGGATAAATTCATTTATTGTCTAACATTGAAGTACAAACACAACCATTGCTGATAAGTTAGTGTTGAAATGATCACCACAGGCAACAGGAAACAGGCATTCATTATCACAGCTAAATAACATGAACATGATTCAGCAATAATTTACCACAGCACTGATGAAAGGTGACAGCATGTCCGATGTAATGAACTGTTTCAACACCTCAATGATGTTTTTCACTTTAAGTCTCCAAATTGAACATTTTCATTTGTGCATCTATTACTAAATAAAGCCGTTTCCATATTTCATTCGTTTGATTTAAAACATTTTTTTTTAGAGACTAAATATTTTAATATACTTTCTGCAGTACAAAAGTAAACAGCTGACAAGAGGGTTTCATAAACATACCACGTTGTACGGACTTCTATAAAAACAATCGGGAAACGTAAAGACTTTTATTTTTAGCACGAAAGCGATGCGACAGGGGAATCTACATACCAGCAGAAAACTTAACTAACAAAAAAAGCCTTATCATTTAAGAACAAAACAACATTGCTAAAATATTAGGGGTTCCAATTCGTGTGCAAGGGCGATAACTCTTTCTGGCTTAATCAGCAAACATCGTAATGACCTCTAAACATGCTTTCGGGGATTTCACTAAACGATGGTTTGAGGTATCTTTCATCCTATGCCATTATCGGTAACTCAAAATGCTAATCTTCATGACAATGACTAACTAACTAAGGTTTGTGTGTACAGAACAATGTCACGACAGACCTGGGTATTTTCATGCCATTTATTTCGGGACAAATATCATGTCCGTTGTTCTCCTCCAATAAACAATAACAGTGTATACATACACTGACACGTGTAATGAATACAGTAACTGCAAGTCAGAATTCAAATTTTAAAGTTTGAACTTTAACCCGTGGAACGGATCATCAACCGAATTTGTGAACATGTAGAATAATTAAAATCTTTGAAGAATTAAATGGAGTTTTGAGTAATGTGCTTCTACAGAATCACAGACTTTATTAGAATATGATAAATATATAATGGTAAGCAAATATTGGGTCAATACATACCGATATACGAAAGTCAACAATGTTTACAATAATATAATATTTAAAAAAAGAACATTGCTTTTTTATATACATCACAGCCATATAGATGAGTGGGCAGCGGTTGAATAACTCACTGCCCTGTACAATAACCTTGTACAATAACATGTATACAATAACATGTGTAAATGAATTAACAATATGTGTCTCCTCTAATGATCTGATAAGGACCCATCATCCACAACTTTAGGTCTTGAGGTTGGATGGGTTGGGTTAAATTGTAACCCCGTAAATCCTTTTTAAAATGCCCGCCTCTATAAATAACATTGGGTCAATGGAAACTAAGAACGCTTGCCGTGAATCGAATATTCTAACGTTAGAAGTGAACGTATTATCAATTATTCAAAAGAGTTTTTTTAACCAAACGCCTTCCGCAAATAAACAGTCGGTGCAGAAATAATGCTTGCCTCCCGAAATAGAATGGTACGTTTTGAAGGATTTACGGTATTCGGTAGTAACACAATATAATTGCAACCGATCTGGAGGGACCTGAAGACTCGGGTTAAAACAGAAGAATACACCAATGATTCATGGCCAAAGCGATAAAAAGATGGAACACTAGACTAACAACTAGTCTCTGAAATGAACATATTTTACAGTTCATAGTTTTAAAAAATAGACCTGAAACTGGAAATCTAGACTTCCCACATATTCTAGACTTGCATGGGCTTTCTTGGGTATATTTGTTACAGGGTCTGTAGGACACTTTTATGATATTAAAGCAGATAACGGGAAAAGAGCACTTGATAGTTTGATATTTACAATGGTTAACGCAACATTACGGTATTAACTGTTGTGGCTTTAATTTCGAGAGGCCTGAATGCTTGGACTAAGAAGGAAGGGTTTGCAAGGAGTGAAAAACATCTGCATTCTGAGAATCCCTGGTTGCAATTTTCCACATTCCTTCACACGTAAACTGGTCACGCTACGGTTTAATCTGCCAGTATGTATAATTAATACTACATAGACTAAGAGTCCTCTAAGACTGTTCCCCCCGACACGGTAATTGCTGGTTAAGAAGATATACACACTAGCTTCTATATTTATACGACTTGTTACGTATTGATCCAAGTGCTCTTGAATGGACAGTGTGGCATCTTGCACGTCCTCACCTTTCAGCGATCATACCGGAAGTGCCGACATTGTAGCGCAGCGGAAACGCTGACCCGGTTTATAAAAAAAGACTTATTTCCACATTTGTCCTGTCCTAGAATTCAAGTGTAACCACTGTCTCTGAGCAAAGAGACATCTTTTACCGTCGATGACTTTTCGTAAAGTTTTCGTCTGTGTCATAAGACAATCGCTCTGCAAAATGCAGATTTAAAACGATCCAGTCTTAAATGCGTCTTAACTAGAACGGCTCTAGTTGTTCAGTCGTCTTGCATTGGGTACGTTAAATCCGCCGTGACAAGAGACTGTTTAGTTGCAGGAATATACTCGAAAGTCTGAGGGCAAATGAGAACATGTCTTTGTAATCAGGGGCGGTGTAGTAGCCTAGTGGTTAAAGTGTTCGCTCGTCACACCGAAGTCCCGGGTTTGTTCCCCACGTGGGTACAATGTGGGAAGCCCATTTCCGGTGTCCCAGGCCGTGGTATTGCTGGAATATTGCGTAAAACTAAACTCATTCACTCTTTGTAATCATCGCATTAATTAATTTTTGGATTTATATTGCCAAGTAATGGATAGGTATCCGGTAGCCGAGATGGTAATGTACTCCCCAGGGTAGAAAACGAAATCCGGTACACACTGAAACACTGAGCGGGGTAATATTGTCGAGCTGTGTTGTTCACGTTGAGCAACCATTACCTGCTAAACGTTTAGAAGACATGTTTACTTAACCGACTTGAATATACATAGGACTGACATTTACCAAGTGCCATTTATTCATTTTAGTCCGTCTCTTTAGTTCAGTTTACTAACCAAAATGGGGGATCGAATAATTTATTTTTGACATTCGACAAAGCTCTGACAAAGTTTATACATGTAATAGAACGTGTCGTTATTTCAGTCTGAAGCTAAGAGCGAGTTCGGCATAACGCCGCTTCCAGTCGTGTTAGTCTGGGAAGTGCTGCAGGTCTGAGACGTTTACCACTCAGGGAACGCCAACAAGCACAGGAATGCTGCGGACAAACCTAAACGAATGATGAGGACGAATCAGGATTCTGAAGTTTAGAGCACATTGAGCAATAGTTTCTGATATTTCAGTAATATGTATTCCCTTGATTGTAACATTACCAGCATTACGTATAACCTCCCTTTATTGTAACATTGCCAGCATTACGTATTCAACCTCCCTTCATTGTAACATTGCCAGCATTACGTATAAACTCCCTTCATTGTAACATTGCCAGCATTACGTATAACCTCCCTTGATTGTAACATTGCCAGCATTACGTATAACCTCCCTTGATTGTAATATAACCAGCATTACGTATAACCTCCTTTGATTGTAGCATTGCCAGCATTACGTATAACCTCCCTTGATTGTAACATTGCCAGCATTACGTATAACCTCCCTTGATTGTAACATTGCCGGCATTACGTATTAAACCTCCCTTGATTGTAACATTACCAGCATTACGTATAACCTCCCTTGATTGTAACATTGCAAGCATTACGTATAACCTCCATTGATTGTAACATTGCCAGCATTACGTATAACCTCCCTTGATTGTAACATTGCCAGCATTACGTATTAAACCTCCCTTGATTGTAACATTGCCAGCATTATGTATTAAACCGCCCTTGATTGTAACATTGCCAGCATTACGTATTAAACCTCCCTTGATTGTAACATTACCAGCATTACGTATTAAACCTCCCTTGATTGTAACATTACCAGCATTACTTATAACCTCCCTTGATTGTAACATTGCCAGCATTACGTATAACCTCCCTTGATTGTAACATTGCCAGCATTACGTATAAACCTCCCTTGATTGTAACATTGCCAGCATTATGTATTAAACCGCCCTTGATTGTAACATTGCCAGCATTACGTATTAAACCTCCCTTGATTGTAACATTACCAGCATTACAACCTCCCTTGATTGTAACATTACCAGCATTACGTATTAAACCTCCCTTGATTGTAACATTGCCAGCATTACGTATAACCTCCCTTCATTGTAACATTGCCAGCATTACGTATAACCTCCCTTGATTGTAACATTGCCAGCATTACGTATTAAACCTCCCTTGATTGTAACATTGCCAGCATTACGTATAACCTCCCTTGATTGTAACATTGCCAGCATTACGTATGACCTCCCTTGATTGTAGCATTGTCAGCATTAAGTATTACCTCCCTTGACACGCACGAGTCCGAATACTGAATCCACTCTTAACGTTTCGAAAGGAAGAGCAGACATTCGTGACGCACAACACACCCTGTTGCTCGGTCTGAAGTACCAGGCTAGACATTTCTATCGAAGTAATAATACTGAACAGAGAAGACGCCTACGAATTAAAGACAAAAGGTTTTCTGATGAAATCAAATTGGCTTCTCTGGGATAATTAACCCACAAAAGGGATACATACATGGGTTTTCGAGTCAAAGCTTCACTGTGCTCATCAGAGGAATACAATATAAGATGGAAATATACAACGTATGCGCCTGAGATTACTCAGCGTTTTATCAGATTCTGTAGAACGTGAAAGACAAAATTACGGGGAAAATTATATTAATGGATCACTGAAATTCAGAGATAACACCAGGTGTTCACGGAAAGAGTAGCATGTCCTATATATGTCCTGTAGCGTGCCAGGCCTGAGCGGCACCAAACTAAGTAAGCACAACATGTCTTCAATATCTTAGGAATTGCAGGTTTATATGTGTGCACATTTATAAGTACAGCCATACGTTCTCAAATATATTTGTTTATTACATACCCATTTAATCTTGCGATAGCGATATAGCCGTGCAATACGACGAGCTTAGGAAAACGAGGCACTTGATTGATGACGTCAGGCGGAGGAATGCGATCTGCCGTCTATATGTGTGATACGTCCCTTGCGCGTAGTGATACTCTGGTAAATCCCAAAGTTTCAGTAGTGACTTTTAGAGATACATTAAATAGGTTTCTGTCATGAAAAGGGTATGTAATATATATAGAACATCATATTAGTGCATTTGGACCTGATGCATTGAACTGTAATATGTGGTAGGAGAAAAACAACTCGTTCTTCGAAGTCATTGCACCTCTCTTACTATGACATCTTGCAGTTCAAATACATAAGGTCCAAATGACCAAATACAGTAAATATATTTAATATGACGTACATGTAGGTCACGTGTCTGGCAGCCTTTGAATATCGCTCGATGGCTTCCTTCAGTAAAAGTGACCTTTCACTTCTTAGATCAAACAGTTTGTAGGTTGTGAGTTACAATGAACGATGTGCAATGTTAATATCAGCAATATCAAACAGGAAAACCTGATGTAGGTAGATGTCTCTCCAGGAGACCAGTACGTCTCCAGAAACAAGTTGCACCAATTTTTCAGGAATGTAACCTGTCTTATGTCATGTAATGTTTCTCATCGCAGGCGTTTCTTTAACGCTTTAACGATTTGTACTTTGGGCGGCCAAAAGTACCTGCTTCTTTCCATAACAACTGGTTCGACTGCTGGGTCTATGAATGTCAATATTGTCCTGAAGTATCTCATAGGAGAGGTAATCTTTCCATGTCCTTCTATGGTTGCTGACCCGTTTGTGCCAACTGAGAAAACATGACGGAAGTCTGTAAACCTGGCCATTTTGAACATAAGCTTCAGAAAGATCCGAGGCAATTGAGGTCTGCATAACACCCAAACCTACGAAGGTCTGCGCGATGTGGAAAGGTCGACTGCTCCTGAGGGATTCAAGGTAGATGGTACTAGAACCAATCCATAATTTCCAAGTAAATTTCCCAAGAGGTTTGCACTCCCAACTCTCAAATCAATGTGTTTGAAGTACACTCCTGGCTTAACCTTTGATCTATAATTAAAGACTAACGTTATGTGTTGCCAAACCACCTCATACTTGAAGGCAGAATCCTCCAACGAGAAGGTGTGCCTGCTCATCAAACGGACGGCGATATCTATTAACTGACAATACGTGATGTAAGAAAGACTTATGCGATGCCTCCAGACTTCTTAGTACACGAATCCGAAGTTCTTCCATCGGTATTTGACGCCCTCCCGTTTCTGGAGTTCCAGCCTCTTGGCGTGGAGGACCTCGGAGATCCACTCTTTGTGGACAGCGAAGGTCATAGGTCGTCGTGGGATGGTGTTGTAGAAGAACGTTTCCATGTTCTCCATGTGGGTGACAGGAGGTTCTGGGGCTAGTTGGGGCTCTACACACTTAACGGTGTAGGGCAGCCGCTTGGCAATTTTCCTGAAGGGAGAAAGGTGTCATTGATATTCTGGTCAGTGTGTGTTCAAGGGAATCCACATGCACAAAGCAATTTTAGCGCGACGATTATCATTATTCCCATACTTAAACATTGACTAACGCTAATATCCCTTTGTGGAAGCGGACCATGATTTGTTTGTCCGGCGTTCGGTATTCCTTGCTCTTAAGTGTCGGTGGCACAGTTAAAATCGTCTTACACTGCCCGAAATAACATCGTCGTAAATCTTATCACACGAAGCGTGTTCAAAATGTACATCCTTATCTCGGGTACACTGGACAAACACATGGTACACTTCGTAAATAGTGGGGGCGGTGGGGTAGCCTAGTGATTGAGCGTTCGCTTGTCACGTCGAAGACCCGGGTTCGATTCCCGACATGTGAACGTGTGAAGCCCATTTTGGGTGTCCCCCGCCGTGATATTGCTGGAATATTGCTCAAAGCGGCGTACAACCATACTCACTCACTCACTCAAATAATGATGGACACATGAGCATAAACTTTGAGATGTAAAGAAAGGGGTTAAACTTTCTGAAATACAACTGCATCTTATCTAGCTCATGATGAAATGACATCTAGATTTGTTAATAGACTGTGCAAAGTTGTTTTTCTTGCACCATTGAAATTCCAAAGGGTATACCTAAACATCTCTGAGAGTGCTCTGAAGCTGCCATGGAACCACCCTTTCTGACGTAGTCTTTCATGCCGCATCTGAAGATGAACGTTCCCATCGGCCCTGTCATAGTCTAACCACCCGATCCCCATTTTCGTTAACTCTTACGAGAAACACGAGGCAACCTATTCCGACCCAGAATCTTAATTTGGGAGGTTTAATAGAAATTAATTATTAACACGAAACCCATGAATACCGACTGGGTCACTGATGCTGATACAGAAACTAAATCATAGAATCATGATACATTGTACTTAGGCCGCGAACACTGAAATTACTTCCTTGCAAAGGGAGGTGGGGTAGCCTAGAGGTTAAAGCGTTAGCTCGGCACGCCAAAGACCCGGGTTCGATTCCCCACATGGGTACAATGTGTGAGGTCCCCCGCCGTGATGTTGCTATAAGCGATATAAAATTTAACTCACTTACTCAGTCACTCAAGAATAATGTACTTGCAGCGACGTTGATTTGCAAGTTGTCAACAGATTCCAGTGCTTCATCTGACTTTAGCCCTGTCTTGTAACATACATCATTTCTCTCTAATTTTGCGCAATGACCTGTAGTTGCGTCATATACGGATATGGTACTAACAAACCCAATAATCCACAAGACAAATATATACATTACTTAATTATATCCCAACTTCTCAATCCGGCTTGTGAACGATAAGGCACTCAACTTTCACCGAGAGTCATTGCTTCACGCACGGTACACAGTTGGGGATCGAACACATGTTTTTGTCGTAAAGAGCCAACGTTTGAACCTCTGGGCTAACCGATTGGAGAAATATATACATTAGCTACTGTTTTCCTAAATTCACAATCTGTTTTGTGACAGATAAGGGACGGAACTCTCAACGATTTTCATTGCTTCAAGCACGTTTTACTTTTGGGGATCGAACCCGAGTTTTGTCGAAAAGAACCAACGCTTCAACTACTGGACTAATCGACAGGAGAATTATATCTATTACTTACTTATATCCATACGGGTTACCATGGACTTCAGCCATCCATCCGTACTTCTCCCTGGCAACCTCCCACTCTTCAGCTTCCACAGCCTCATCTGCAGAGTCAGGGTCCTGAACGGGGTTGCGGGGGCGGAGCTCGGGGGTCTTGGGTTTGGGTGGGGATGTTAGTCGGGTCTCTTGGGCAGGGGTGGTGCTCCTGGGGGGCATGGGGGATCTGACAGGTCCAGCTGACTTGACCGGTCGGCTTGGGATAGGGGTCTTTTCCCTGTGCAGAGACGCGCTCTTAATTCTTGTTCTTTTCATTTCAGGAGTTTGAGCTGGTTCTGTGTGAGACTTAGGACGAGGCCAACTGATATGAGAACGGTCACTTTGGTCAATAGGGACGTTAGTGGTTTGGGGTACTTCCGGTTTCGTGGGTTTCGGCACAGGCCAGGACACTTGAGTCGAGGCTGTCGAAGGTCGACTTCCTTCCAGGGGATTCTGGGTAGGTGGTGCCATCGTGTAATCCGTTTCCGGTAGGTTTGTAGACCAGCACTGACTGGGGGTGGGCACATTCAATCGGGGTATTAATTTGAATTTCGGAATAGGGGCGCTTTTAGCTCGTGGACCCGTGCCCCATTTATTTGCTTGTGGCTTCGATGCGGATGCTGGCCTTATTCCGGTAGGTGGCGCTGGGGAATACCCTCTGACCATGAGGTTTGGGGACGGTGGGACCAGTGGCTTGCTCTCGTACATGGTGTCTCGGAACTTGTACAGACATTCTTGCTCTGGAATAGAAGTAAAGGTGCGTTCACACGTTGCAACTAGTTTGTTACAACATATTGCATACAACAAGTTGCACGCCTTGAGTTGCGTTCACACACAGGCCAAGTTGTATACAATTTTCGGTATCGTGAGATCTCGTTTTACATGTTGCTTAGCAACGCACTGTAGAAACTAGCATACGGTCATGTTGTGTCGTCCGTTCTTGTGGTATCGCCATGTTTGATGTCTGCATAAATATCACGAGACTACGAAACGCGATCTGATTGGCCAGAACCGTACAACTTGTCGCATGGAAATAGAGCAAGTTCTATTCCTTGCAACTCGCTTGCAACTTGTTGCATGCAACAAAAATCTGTCCAACTACCCTGTTCACACTGTGAAATTTGTTGCATGCCACAAGTTTTATACAACTAGTTGCAACGTGTGAACGCACCTTAACCAATGCACATCACAAAGGCACTGGCCGAGATCATACGTTATAGTCCTGACAAATTAACTACAATAACATGCAAGAATGGTTGGTTGTCCTTAACATTCCATAGCGAAAAATACTCAAAATACCAACACATCCAACTAGTTGGATCCTGAAAGATTTGCCAGGTCTGTTATGAAAGTACTTTTGACGCTTCAGTCATCCCCAATTAATCACATCTTTCCTGAATGTTGACCGTGTTGGAATTATTACTCGCATATTGTTTCAACCAGAGGTGCCCTGTTTGTTAAATAGAATTCTAAGCACAAGACATGTAGTGTTCTTTGCACATTTATCATTAAACGACTTCTTAAAGTTGTTATTCCAGTTCAGCTTATCGCAGCAGCCTACTTTGGTCAGTCTTCTGTAAACTGTTCCTTCAAAGACAGTTACTTACGGTACTTGTTATACGGTCCCCGTGCGTAGATGTCATTGGCGGACGGGTACCAGCCATACACCCTCTCCTTCATACTGGCGACTGATGCTGGAAACAAAGGGAGCGTATAAGAATGCATAGAGGAATATATTTCATCTAATTATCAATACGGTGTACGGCAATAATGTGCAAGGGTGACTTTAAAATAGTCGTAAGCAGGGAGTTAATTCTATCTAGAGTGCAATCTTGTGTCGGGGGAGTGTTGGCAGAGTGACGGTGCGGTCAGTTTGTTGGTTATGGCTCTTCGGATCGATGGCTCGGAACCCTTTCAGAGGATGGAGCCTATTAATGGTGCCGCGTCTCCTCGCGTTCTCCAATCAACATAAACCATTAAGTGATCGACATAGTGTCTAGGGGACGATGGAATAAATCAACGTTAGCTGTCCGGGTTCGATTCCAATTGTACTTTCAACCTTCAAAACTCAACAGAATTTTAATCTGCACATTTGATGATTGTATATGATACAGGAATCAGTTTGTTTGTTTGTTTGTTTGTTTGTTTGTTGTTTAACGCTGCAATCAGCAATTTTCCCGCTATATGGCAGCGGTTTGCAAATAGTCGAGTCTGGACCAGACAATCAAGTGAACAGCTGTCCAGGGGAGTACTGGAATGTTCTGCTGTCTCATGAAATCTGTCACAACACGAGCGACATGTGGACGGGCAGTATCATGCTGAAGCGTGAAGATACATCCTTGGATAAACGGTTGCATACGAGGCCCAATAATCTCATCCCTGTATTGCAGAACGGTCAGATTGCCATTGACAATGACAAGTTGTGCTCGACAATTAGATGTGATGACACCCCATACCATAACGCCGTCGCCACCAAACTGTCGACGTTGAACAACGCACGCGTCAGCATACTGTTCACCTCGCAGTTTGTACACTCTTGCCCTGCCACCTGAACTGTCCAGCTGAAATCTCGACTCGTTAGTGAACAAAACACCATACCAATCTTGTCTCGTGTACCGTAGATGATGTCTGCAATAGGCAAGAGGTGCCTGTCGGTGACGATGGAGCAAAATTGGACGTATTGCAGGCCGCCGGGGCTGGATGTTGTGCTCCCTCAGTTGGTTCCGTACAGTCCAGAGCCTAGATTTTCGATGCTCGCTTAGCGTTTAGATAGTCGTAAGTGCCATACCCTAACATTAACTTACGACTATCTTAGAGCTAAGAGAGCTTCGAAAATCTAGGCCCTGGAAATGATTGGACTTAAGCCAGGAATGGTCTGAGCAGTCAAACTGGCAGTTTGGAATCGATTCCTTAGATGGGTCAGCTGAATGTGGTTGTCTTGCTGACGTGACGTCACGCGTGGACTGCCGGTCCGAGGCAAATCTCTCGTGTTCCTATTATGTTGTCCATACTGATGAGATCGTGTTTCGATGGACACTAAAATGTCCAACTTCATTTTGGGCCATTCCAGTCTCCAGCATACCCACGGCGTGGTGATGCTGATTTTCTGTAAGCCATGGTATGACGCACGCGCACTTTAGGTTGAAATTAACGTGTTTTCCACACCGCTCAGAGAGTAGAGAAAAATCAGCCTTTCTTCAATTTTCAATATCATGTGTGTGAACTTCGGATGTCAAAAAGAATGCAAAAAGTGTGTAAGTTCGTTGCGCACAAAGTCCATGAAATTTCATGCAAAGTATTTTGCTACATGTTTCTTTGGGGTTATCTTCATAACTTTTCAAATAACTTATATTTTATGCAATTTTATGTTATGTACAGTTACGTTTTTCCGTTAGTATACTTGTTTGTGAAACTTTTAACCTGGTCAAAATGGTGAGTATTCGAAATCTGCACAGTATTGATTCAGACCTTCAAGTTGGAGAACTGTTAATTCAACATAAAACTATCACAGAAACATGACGGACTCTTCAAACACCGCGTTCTACGTACACTTTCATACCACTCGATTCCAAAGCGAGCATAAATTTCAAAATTATTACATGTGTCTGCATGGTCCTTGATTGAAACAACATAATTCAAAATAAACACATCACGACGATATGGTAATAATGTTTCATAGCATTGCACGATGTCGGTGATATGGTAATAATATTTCATAGCATTGCACGATGTCGGTGGTATGGTAATAATATTTCATAGCATTGAACGACGTCGGGATATACTCAAGCTCATAAATTACGAACAAAGTATCTGTATGGTTTACGGGGATATGTATAGCGGGTTTTATGGAAATTGGAATTGCTTGTGTGTGACGTTAAACGGTAGCATGATATCCGGGAGAGGCTCAATGAGCGACCGCTTGAGAGCCGAGACGACAGCTGCGAGGCTGTTAGGGAGAAATAATATACCACTCAACTTTTCTTAGGGGTACTGTAATACGGTAGCTTGTCAGGCCCAGTAACATCTAAATTGTAATAAATTAGTGTGGTGGTATAGTTTGATAATACGGACATTCATGTCAAAAGCTCAACTAATTTTTATGTTTTAAAAAAATGTTAATAGTAGGTATACAGCTATCTAAGTGGTTTCAAAAACAAGTTATTGGAGTTTACATTTTAGACTTCTTGTTTCCGAATGTGGTTAACACGTTATACTAAACTTTGTTGTTGGTTAGTGTTTACTTGTCTTTTTGTGTGTGTCTTTGTGTGGGGAGTAGATAGTTAGTCTGACTGACTGAGTTTAGTTTTCGCCGCTTTTAGCAATATTCCAGCAATATCACGGCGGGGGACACCAGAAATAGGCTTAACACATTGTGTCCATGTGGGGAATCGAACCCGGGTTTTCGGCGTGACGAGCCAACGCTTTAACCACTACGCTACCCCACTGCCCCTAGATGGTTAGTGTGGGGAATAGATGGTTAGTGTGGGGAATAGATGGTTCTTGATAAGGTGGAAAGAGTGTTGCTAAATATGGAGGATATATCCCTAGCAATTCTGAATCGTGTGTCTGGAGCTGAAATGAAGATTCGTGTAATTTGTACTGTCATCAAACACGAGCGCCTACGAATCAACTGTTCCACAAATAATACCCCGCGTTAACGTCATTGCTAATAGGTGAACTTCCTTGTGAGCTCACGGTCGATGGATATCAATGACATCATACGCATGCCTTGGTTGTATAAACCGAAGCTAAAACCGGTATGGTGCATGTTCGACTCGCTAGGCAATATTTGAGGACCTCTTAAATCCCAAGATTATCTTTACAAGCTTGTATTGACGCTCCTTCTCCCATGTTGTGCCTTGTGTAAACAAATCACTCGTCACTCGGTTCCTTGAGAGTCCGTTTGTCAGAATGACCTGATACACGAAGCCAATCAGTGCTAAAATGTTCAAATGACTAGATGTCCTCTGTGAAGTCGGCGCACGTCAACCTCGTTTCTAGAGCGAACGTACTATTAAGAAAGCCAATCATAGGCGAGAAAAGACTGTGTTGATGATTGTTTTCTCCGAGGTCCGCGCGATTGGGTTTTCTTCCTAAATCGCATTTCAACTTTATAATGTTGATGGAGAAATGTAATTGCATCTCCGACTTTTCAATCTTATACAAGATGAAATATCAATACATTGCCACTAAAAGCGCACGAAAAGCTCATTTAGAGCGTTAACGGGCCCAGCGGTTTAAAGAGAACAATAAAAATGTCATTTTTGATTGACGACTTCTATTTTTCACATCAACATCAGAGCTCCCAGCACAAGAGTCCTCGGTATTCTATTAAAACTTGGATTTGAAACAAAACGACTCTCCCTTTTGTTAGAATTACCATTACAGGATACATGGAAACATGACATAAGGTTTCATGAAGGCTATTTAAACACTTAGCAACGGCTGCTAAACGATAGAGTATAATAGAAAGCCTTGAGGAACAACTCTTGTCAACACATATGGACCACCTCTGACATTGGTTGAAGAGTTTTGCCTCTTATCTAAGTATTTATGACCTACAATTCATTATATACTATTAAACGAAACAGATGAGTGAGTGAGTGAGTTTGATTTTACGCCGCTTTTAGCAATATTCCAGCAATATCACGGCGGGGGACACCAGAAATGGGCTTCACACATTTTGCCCATGTGGGGAATCGAACCCGGGTCTTCGGCGTGACGAGCGAACGCTTTAACCACTAGGCTACCCCACCGCCCCACGAAACAGATGAACAGACAATAGTGATACAAAAGAATCAGAAGTTCTTTGACTTCTATTAAGTGGCATATGTACTACTTAATCCCAACTCATGGTGCTATAAACGTTATCGTGCAGAAAGCGATCTTAGCGCAATGGCAACCATAAACCCAAGAATATGTTCAACTGTGGGAGTTATGGTAACCTAGAACTAACATATCACTTATGTTTTTCAGTCCCCATGGCAACAGATGGCCTCTAGGTGTCTCCACGCCATCAAACGCAGTTAAAAAAACAACAATACTGGAACGCCATTCATTTCCATCTCATTGGCCTGCGACGTTCCATACTACGATTCAGTTGAGTTGTTCCACTAATATATAACATGACACACTCGTCCATACACGTCTGTGTGCACAATACCTCTTCCAGAGCCTATTTGGAGAGACAGACCCTAGAACACATTAAAACCTCTCGCCATTGTGGAGCTGACAGTGGGAACGCCATGGACCCCATTGTGTCTTGTTGTGAAGCCTTGTGTGAAATCTAATAAACATACAACGTTATGTGCCTGACATCATTGACACTTAACCTCTCGTGATTCCTTCAAAGTTTAAGGAAGACGGGTCGCATAGGTATGTTGCGTGTTTAAAGTGCTTCAGTATATGCCAACGTTGTCTCACAGCCCCTGGCGTATAATATACTTTTCCGTTCAGCTTTCTGTAATGCTGAATGAAGAAAATGAAGATTTTTCTCAGGTTCTCAAACGCCCATCTGACCGAGGTTCTTTTTCAATTAACTGGAGTTACTTATTTCTTTTTTCGTATTTTAAGTGAGTGAGTGAGTTTGGTTTTACGCCACTTTTAGCAATATTCCAGCGGGGGACACCAGAAATGGGCTTCACACATTGTACCCATGTGGGGAATCGAACCGGGGTCTCCGGCGTGACGAGCG